AACAAAATCAATCAATCAAAATCAAAAATATTTTTAAATATACATTTATAACAAAAAACTTTACGAAGAATACGAGTAAGGTTGAGTTGCACCACCTTACTTTAACCGTACTAGTAACAATAACCGATGTGTTTGTATGGAAATATAATCTCTAAACATACTGACAAACTCATCATTGTCTATAATTTTGTTAAATATCAACATTTGAATTCAGTGGCGTAGCTTGGGGGGGGCAGGGGGGGCCATGGCCCCGGGCGGCATATGAAAGGGGGCGGCGGATAAGAAAAAAAACATTGCATGAACAAGAAAAAAATGTCTACGTTGAGACTAACAAATCTAGCTATACTGGCAATTGAAAATGAGATACAATTTGATATCGACGATTGTGTAAAAGATTTTGCTTTGAAAAAAGCACGAAGAGTACATTTTTAATCTATTTTTTAAAGTAATAGTAACAAAAATATTTAAGGAGCTTACTTACCTACCCCTCTTAAACTTGCGCCACAGATAATCTTTCGTGATTTCTCTTGTTAAAAACCGAAATAAAAAAGTTGTTTGTAAATAGTTAAAGCCATATCTAAGCTACATTTAAAACCGTGTATTTATTATATTCTGCAAGTTCGAAATTCAAAATTAGCTAAAATGGTAACTTTTAGCAGTAATTAAATCTGTAACTTGCTGCAAATATCTAATGAATTCAAACAAATTATTTTAAAAAATAGCTTCGATACATATTATACATTTTTCAAACCACTTTTTTAATTTCGGTCTATAACAAAAGTAATCAAGAAAAAATATGGTGGCGCTGGTTAGCTAGGGTACCTACAACCCTTAATAATATTTTAAGCACATATGTTATTCCTTCTAAGTTCAATGAGCACTATACAGTGCGAGTCACGTTAAAGTGTACATATGAAAATAGATGAAACTAGACCGATTTTTATCGACAACAAAGAGGTCAAAAAATTTTTGTGATTTTTTTTTTAATTTTTTATAGAATTTTTTTTTCTTCCAATTACTTATTGTAAAGAAAACGTAATAACTTTTAAACTAAGCGGTATATCCTGATAAAATAAAAACAGTAATAATGCTAAATAACAGGCGATACTAAAAAAAACATAAAATACACAAAAAAGGCCAACAAATAATAAAAAAATATACTTTTTTAAAAAAACTGCTTTTAAATTCGTGTTTTTTTGGTTATTTGATAAATTTCTCCAAAAAATTCCCCTATAACCGGTGGTTTTTGTATTATTTTCTATCATATTACCTTCGTAAAACCAAAAATCGCATGTCTCTATCCCTATCACAACGTTTGCAATGATCGTTTGAACTAAGCCTCTCCGGGCGCGCCATTCAACGCTTCGTTAACAATAAAACTGAAAATGGCTCTTGATTTGTAATTTTGATAAAGATAAGTTAGATTTCAAATAAAAACAAAAGATTTCGAAGTAAAATAAGCATTTTAGTTAAAATTAAAATTGTCTTTACCTGTAGCGGAGAATAATGTTGTGGCAGGCCTTTGTTCAAACGATCATAGCAAATGTTGTGATAGGGATAGAGACATGCGATTTTTGGTTTTACAAAGATGATACGATAGAGAATAATACAAAGTAATAAAAACCACCTGTTATAGGGGAACTTTTTGGAGAAATTTATCAAATAACCAAAAAAACACGAATTTAAAAGCAGATTTTTTTCAAAAAGTATCATTTTTTATTATTTGTTGGCATTTTTTGTGTATTTTATGTATTTTTTTAGTATCACCTGTTATTTAGCATTATTACTGTTTTTATTTTATCAGGATATACCGCTTAGTTTAAAAGTTATTACGTTTTCTTTACAATAAGTAATTGGAAGAAAAAAAATTCTGTAAAAAAATTAAAAAAAATCTCAAAAAAAAATTTGACCTCTTTTTTGTCGATAAAAATAGGTCTAGTTTCACCTATTTTCATATGTACACTTTAACGTGACTCACACTGTATATATTTTAAGATAATATTTACTCTCAATTGACAAATAAATACTTTAATACTTGTTATTATTGTTTATTGTTATACACCTAGTGTTACATAATAAAGCTGAGCTATTTAAGAAAATCAAACTTCCTGTGGGTTTCAAGCAATGGCTTCTCTTTAATGTATTTTCCTTCTGAAGCAGTGCGCGGTAGTTTATTTTGACTTTCGACAAATAAGGTGAATAGTTTGTACCTGAAGTCCATTCAATATAATATTTAATCTTTAAAATATTTATAATTAAAATAAAGGGCGGCGGATTTCCGGACGGCCCCGGGCGGCGAAAAGCCACGCTACGCCACTGTTTGAATTGCAATTCATATTTGTTTTGACTCTACCTACATTACCCGTTGGTTTGAGCCAGCTTAAATTTTTACACTCTGATAAACATTTGCCTTTTAAACTTGCCAGGCGTTAAGACAAACGTAATGTTCAACATTATTATTATTATAAGCTGCTTTTACTGCAACCAGCTAGCGGGATTTACCACCACGTAATACGAAAACAAAAAATAATGGTTACTGGCTAGAAATAATTGAACCAGGATTGTAATGGTTATTCAATTCAAACATAATAAACATAAAAAATCTTTCCTCATAATAATATTCGTTCGTTCGTTCGTTTCAGCCAAATGACGTCCACAGCTGGACAAAGGCCTCCCCCAAGGATTTCCATAACGACCAGTCATGCGCTGCCCGCATCCAGGCTCTTCCCGCGACCTTCACCATATCGTCGGTTCACCTAGTGGGAGGCCTGCCCACGCTACGTCCTCCGGCCCATGGTCGCTACTGGAGAATTTTTCTGCCCCAACTTTTCTTTATAATATTACTATATAGATACTCGTATACTCGTAGATCAGACAATGATCTGAGTTATGTCAGCTTGACTAACCATGGTCCCGGCTAATGATGTCGGCTCCCCATTAAGTGGGGGCGTGTTGGGTCCCGCCGTGTAGGGCGGGACGTCCGCGGAAGACGCCTTGGTCGTTTCTAGTAGCCAAGGCGCCGACCACTATGCGGCAGAGGGAACACCCCAGGTTTTAGTGGGTTCGAGCCCCACATAACCTGTCGCTCGTAGGTACGGATAGGCCATTTTCCCGGGTAAAAAAAAGCTTGATTAACCACCGTGTTGTTAAATAGGCTCCAAAACTACAAGACCGATTTGAAAAATTCTTTCACCATTACAATTCCACATTATCTTATATATATAAAAGAAAGTCGTGTTAGTTACTCCACTTATAACTCAAGAACGGCTGAACCGATTTAGCTGAAAATTGTCAGGGAGGTAGTTTAGAGCCAGGAGAAGGACATAGGATACTTTTATCCCGTTCGAAATTAAAAAAAAGTCTGCTTATTTATTGCCATTAAGGCGGAACAAAGTTCGCCGGGTCAGCTAGTTCCTGATAAACATACTCGTAGGTGGTAAGAACTTCCCCATGGCAACTAGTTAAACAATACATATGTATAACATTACAGTATGGACAACAAAATCAAAGACTTTTTCATCAGCTAGACCAGGGTTTCCCAAACTGTGGGTTGCCTTGTACCCAGTGGTGGGTCGCGAGCGAACATTGAGTGTGCCCTGCCTGCCCTACAGATACAACCGCTGGGCAGCGGGCGAAATTTCCTATAGGTGGGTCCCGAGTTTGGGAACTTGTATTAAGATGAGTCGTAGCCCAGACAACTTTGGAAACCACTGAGCTAACGTTTGACGTCGCGTTGCCATGATATTAATGAGTACCTACCTACATGCCGAACTGATAACGTTATTTATTCGTGTAGGTACCATTCGTGTGTATTCAGCCTCTTGTATACGGGTATTTTAATGAGAATTTAAAAATTTTGGAATTGCCTCACTTGATGCGGTCTGCGTTCAGGTCAAAATGAATGCAGCCCGCATCATATGAAAAACATTGTCGATCTGTATATACAGGTGTGGTTTTATAAAACAACGCCTATCTCATACACGACACTGATGCCAAAAAAATATTTTAAATTTTCATGAAAAAATCCATGAAATCAGGAAATGAAATCAGTCAGTTTAGGAGACGTTTGAACAAGGTTTTTTACTAATTAAAGTAATAGTTAAAATTTTATTTATCTTTCTTGTAAATACTTTCATGTGTACTATCACCCCTGAGATGCTCGTTGTTTTACAAAACCACACCCTGTATTTACCTGAAAACGCAGCGTGTGACGTCCACCCACAATTTTCATGAACTTCCTTCCTCTTTTTAATACTGCGAGATCTTCGCAACTTAGTCTTTGAAATTTCAATTGAGCTACTCATTAATACTAATTAACAGAGTTATGTTAGTGGCTTCTACGATTAAATTCTTCATTAAATGTTTTTATTACATACAAATTGCTTAGAGACTACTACTCAATTAATTCGTTCAGTGTGATTAATTATACACTGGCCAGTTAAGTAGTAAATGCTGTTATTGGGGTACCGCAGCGTAATTGGAAAAATAAATTCCACCAAAAATGTTTTGCCAAGACGGAAACAAACTCATTTCAGGGTCGCTTTATTTTTGTTTATTCAGAAAACTTTGTGAAAAACTTATCAGATTTCATGTAACTGCAGAGACCAAACTTCTAACTCTACAAGCCCTGACTAAACAGAATCTATACCTTAGTCAAAATATGTGGCACGGCCGTTTCATTATCGTCACAAATGATGGGCGTAAGGAGGGTTAACTGTTCATACATTAGTTCTTGTAATAAAGAAATGGAAGATGTTATGAAAACTGAACCTCATTTATTCACTTCACACTTATTAACTTTTTTCAGGAGAATTCTGAAAAATAGGTTTAATGAAATCAAGTTTCACTAATTAAGTTTATACAGGAGCCTCAGAGTGCAATTTTACTCGCACTTGACCGGTTTTTATTGGTTGAGTTGATAGCTGACTCATTCGAATGTTCATTACGAAACGAACATAATGTAACTGAAAAATAATTAGTAATTGCGAGTAGCTGTTGCACACAGCACGTGTTTCTACATGAACAGTCATGGAATTTGAACTATGACATGACGCGGTTACGAACGCTGGCGGTGCATACATTTTCAGGAAGGAAAGTGAAAGAGAAAGCAATCGAATTATATCTACATATATTTAGTATAAATTTTACAAATATAGTTTTGTGTTCGGTGACGCGGTTTCATTCCGTGAACTAATGAATGTGCCATTTAAACCCCCGATATATCATGTCAGTGATAATGGAGATTATGCAAAAACAAATGTGACAGGTAGGCACGCTTGCGAAGCCAAGATTTTGCGTTAGTTTTCACTTTCGACAAAAGTCTGCGCCAATCAGAGTCTACGTCGGATTACACACACGTGACGTAGACTTGATCTTAATCTGCATACCTTTCAAACACAAACAGTCTCCAATAACAGAGCATGCAACATAAACACGCACGCACTTTACCATTACCCGGACCCAAATTATCAAGCCCACAGATGTTTTTATCGCTTACAATTAGATTTTATCTTATCAATGAAATAGAGTGCATGGTATCAGTTACGGCGTGGTGTCGAAGCTAGCATCATGTACCCGGGCCCGCGCCATCGCGGCGGCGTGCGGCTGTACTTCGCCGTCGTGCTCGTCGTGGCCACCGTCGGCTTCATGTACGCCGTCCTCCCTACCAGGGTCACGTACGATTACACCAAGCAGATGGACAATATATTATTCCAGTTCAACGTCACACCACATCAACCAATGAAGTTCATTCTGCAGTGGGCACCGAGATATTCTCCATTCGACGTGATGCGAGAAGGCCAAGAAGCGTTTTTCAAGCTCGACTGCGAATACAAAAACTGCTACGTGACAGACAACAAATCGTTTTTTGATGACATCAAAAATTTCGACGCCATCGCTTTCAGTGGCAACCACTTGCCGAATGCGAATAACCTGCCTGCGCAGAGGTCTGCCAGTCAGAAGTACATCTTCGGAGCGACGGAGTCGGCGCACAACTACCGGGTGTGCGACCCAGTGTTCGATGGGTTCTTCAACTGGACGTGGACTTACAGACTGGACTCGGACGTCCGGTGGGGATACATAACAATTTACGACTTGGACGGCAAGAAAGTAGGCCCCAAAAGGGACATGACGTGGCCAGAACTGGCACCAGTGAGTGATGAGTTTAAAAAGAAGTTGGACAGTAAAAGTAAAGTGGTGGCGTGGTTTGTGTCTCATTGCAACACGTTGAGCAGGAGAGAGAATTTCGTGAGGCAGTTGCAGCGTGAAGCAAAGACTAAGTACGGTTGGACGGTGGACGTGTACGGTTCGTGCGGGACGCTGAAGTGTCCGAGACAAAGCAGTTCGCATTGCTTCGACATCCTCCAGAGGGATTACTACTTCTACCTGTCGTTCGAGAACTCTTTCGCGGAGGACTACGTGACGGAGAAGCTGCTGAACGCACTAAACAACGACGCTGTGCCGGTGGTATATGGAGGCGCTAACTATTCAAGGTGAGCGTTTCACGACAAAACATTGATTCTCAACTTTTACGAGTAATCTTTATTCATTTTCTAGATGATACGAATCTCCTACAATAAAGAGAAGTCTTTGTAGTCTATAGAATAGGGATTTTAATTGATAAAACCCAGTTACAAGTATGATGCTTTTAATGTCAGCTAACGTGCCGGATGGGCTTGTATCTTGTCAAGAATTACGTCACAGTGCGTGTCACTCGCACGAACCTGCCAGTCCAGTCAACTATCGTATAAGAGTTCTTGTCATGCATCCTTTACCTGTGTATGTGCCCCAGTTTGGGAAACTTGCCTCAACGCATTGGCTTTCAGAAACGAGACACAATCGGCGTCTACCGCTTGAAGTAGGTAATATTGGAAACGTGTTAATTGATACATTGCGGTGTGAAGATAACCCAAATATGTGCATATTGTGGGTGAGGTTAGTTACTCATTGGTTTATTGAACTGAAAAAAGTGTATTGACACACTTTTTAGTTTATTACTGACTGAATAATTCGTGCGATTTGTATAAAATTGGTTTACTACTACCCGTCTCCTAATAGCCGTATCTAACAGCAAGCAAGCTATGATTTTTCTTATCTTAATCTGATAACGTGACATAACGTCATAACTGTGTAACAATCTTGACGATTTGTAAGAATTAAACGATTTACCTTTACGTCTAACTCAACAATAATCATGATTTTTCTACGAAACTATCATGATTTCAATTTCACCTGTTATCGCGTCCGGATGGTTGTGTCTTTTGTTATCAGCTAGTGTTTTGGACATTCCATGAATTACGATAAGTTCATGTTTATTTTTACACACTTCTATGACGTGGGATTACAATCCCACCTTCCGCTAATGAGTCAAACTGACGTTTCAATATTATATTCACATAAATATTACCTACATGTTTCAGGCTAAATCATCGTTTTAACAGACACATCTTAAGCGTTGTTTACTGTTCCTCAAATGAAAATAGTTAATCACGTTTTCTCTATTTGTTGTGTTGCGGGACTACTCGACATGATTCGAACTTCACCAACTGTACAGAAGTTGCAGTGGTGAGTAGAGATGGGTAGTGGGTAAAAACCCATTTCACCCGATTGGGTTTAAACCGGGTGATTTGGGTAAAAACCCGGTTTTTACCCATTATCACCCATTCTGGCGGGTGAAAACAAAAATAGCGTTTTTTTAAAGTGAGAAATGGTATTTGTTGCTAAGGGGGCGTTCTAGTGTTACGTAATGCAATCTGGGGGGAGAGGAGGTCTTGAAAAACGTTACAATGCGTTACAGTGGCGGAAGGGCGGTCGATTTCAAATTTTTAAGCAGAAGTACTTTGTAGTTGGTGTTGTTATTTGTAACTTTATACCGTAATGTCATCAAAGAGAGTGTTTGGCATCTTTGGCATCCCCCCCTCCATGTCCTTGCCATGATCACAAATTATTGTGTTCCTACTAAATTTCTTTTAAATCGGTTCAACGATTCTTGAAATAACACCATTTTATAAAATAATTGGTCACATCATCATAACGTGATCAATTTTACGATTTGGCCACGATATAAATGCATATTAGTGTTAAATTACACTTATTACTTATTAATCAATAAACTTAAATGAGAAAAATTCAATAAAAATAAAGAAAAGATACCAATTGAAATAATTATAAAATTATTTGTTTTCACCCGGTGTAAACACCCACGGGTGGAATGAAACGGGTTTTTATTGGGTTTTTACCCTCATGTGGGTTTTTACCCGGGTGGAAACCCATCTCTAGTGGTGAGAATAGTCCCAGGACAAGACACGCCATCTTTTAAAAGATACTGTCATGAGATAGGTACGCCAATGGAAGCTGAGCCTGTTATTAGTGCTGTGAGGTGTGAACGTGCGTTCATAACACCCGAATTTGGCCACACTGATAGTTGTTACTCCATCTAACTATAGAACAATTTTTAAAAATATTCATTTTAATAGAGCAATTTTATTATTAAACTAGCTTTTGTCCGCGGCTTCACCCGCGCGAAATTTAGTTTGTCACAGATCGTCATAATTTATAGCCTATATGTTGTTCTGGGTTATAAACAATAATACTGTATAGTTTCATCAAAATCCGTTCAGTAGTTTTTGCGTGAAAGAGTAACAAACATCTAGACATCCACACAAACTTTCGCATTTATAATATTATTAGTAGGAAGTAGGATGAAAAAAACTTCCCACTAAATAGGTTAATAATACTTAGTTTAAATCTAGGACTTGCTGATAGTCTATTATAGGGACTGGCTTATCTAACCGAGTTAACAGAGTTATTAGATAGGGTTAAACTGGTCGTTAAGCTGTTAGTTCATCAACCAAAACATTATACATGGTTGAAACGTTAAGTGATCTCACTCGATTATTTCTAAACTATACAAGATATTGAAAAACTGGTTACTGATCCTGAAAGTGCTTCAAGAGCTCTTTCAAACGGTACCAATAACATGATAACCTGACATACAACGGTTACAGAATAAACTGGTTCTATCTGAAAATTCAATGTTTCCAGCTTCGTCGATTATAAAAAAAAAAGTAAATCATCTATAGTTAAACTCTCGATAATAATTTACCAACACTAGTGTAGTGGTATGATACGGAGATGGAATGGAAGCGTCATGCTTGCTCATGACCGTTGTATGTCAGGGGGTAGTGTTACAAAACATGTGCTGGGATCGCTACATCTGGTTGTATATTTTATTTAAATATCACACTTATTATAACTACATTAGAAACTTGAATGTGCTGTCGTACGTAATGTTCATAGTTATCAAAATATCCAATAGATAAGAGACGTGAACGAAATAAAATGAATCATGTTTGTTTGTATACAAAACCCATATTATCTCACGCGATGAGAGCCATTTAATTTTGCCATTTTATGAAATAACTTGTAGGAATAAAACTGATTTAATTATTTGAAAATAAACTCGGTGTCTTTGTTGACCGAGACCCTGGAATGTATAAAAGAAATGTAAATCTATTGAATTTCAGTTATTTCAAAAAGAAACTGTTTGTATTAGCTAAAACGAAATATCAAGCTGCATTGGATTCTAATGTAGGTAAAAACATATGAATGAATATGCCTTAAAAGTAAGTCTTCGCATCAATATTGGCAGATACTTTTCTAACTGCTTCGCATTGTGAAAGTGGATGCAATTTGATGTTTGTGTACCAGTTAGTCTGAAGTTTAAACGTTAGCTTGAAGTTAGGCGGGGTTCCATCCTAAAGTTACCAGTTGCAACGATCTACCACTTTTCCTTAACTATCCAGGTTTAGTTCACAACGTGGTAGAAAATATTTCATTTCTACAATACCTACTTACTAGTTTATCATCGTGACAGCAGCGATAGGGAAACGAAAGGTGCTAATTCTTCGTACATTACAAACGTACGTTTTATCTGGTCAGCCGTTTGGTGTAGTGGTTCGGAAACGGACTACTATGCCGAGAGGTCCCGGGTCCGCTTCCCGGCCGGGCAGAAATTGAAATTATGAATTTTAATTTCTGTGACGGGTCTGGGTGTTACTATATATAATATGTATGTATTTACAAAAAAAAAAAAATTAAAGTATGTTTATATCCGTTATCTAGTACCCATACATAGTACAAGCTTTGCTTAATTTGGGACTAGAAGCGTAGTGTAAAATGTCCAAGGATATTTATTTAATATTTATATTTATCTCAAACTCTTTTCTCTCCTTGAGTTATTTGAAAAAGTTCGCATCTTCTAAGCAAGACCAAATAAAATTGTGCGATTTCAGTATTTTACTTCTTTTATTAATCAGTTTTATGTGGTGTGCAATAAAGAATGCTTAAGAGTACCTAAGTAGGTATAGAGTGAACGAAAATCGTAAACTTCTGACCTCTCCTTCTTTTCTAGGGCTTATTTCCAACAGTGAGCTTTTTTCCATGACCTGAGGACCTCTCATAGTCGACGATACCATTGATGTGAAAGCAGGCTTATAGCCAGCTTCAACATCGAAGTATTTTATAAATGTTACTGCAAGCAAACTCCACCATCAGGTACTAACTCTTAGTTGGATCGGAGCCGAACATTTAAGTGCGTCTGATACTTTCCCCAACTTTACCTTTCATGAAATACATATTTCAATGAATTCTACTTCATGAACTATAAGTTAGTACTTGCATGTCATATTTATCCTCTCAATATGTGAGTAGGGTAACCATTGTGTACCAAACCATTATAGCATTGTATTTAACTGAAGCAGAACCCCAAGTCAACCAGTTTCAATGTATTGTCTCGACTTTAAAGCACACATTAATCAATGACTAGCTTTCCTCCCGCAGCTACGCCTGCGTGAAATTTTTTCTGTTAAAAACCCGGATAAAAACTATCCTATGTCCTTTCCCGGGACTCAAAGTATCTTTATGCCTTATCAAAATCGGTTCAGTGGTTTAGGCGTGAAAGCGACACAGATAGTTAGGTACTTTCGCAGATAGGTACTTAGGCAGTGAACATTTCGGAATTAAGTAATCTTACTTTAAAACGACTAAAATGAGCTTTAAACTGAAAAGTCACGTTCCTTTGAAACCTAAATCCTTATCGAGAACTTTGATAAGGATTTAGGTTTCAGTGGAATAGCAGCAAGTAGGTAAATAAAATAGAACAGTCCTGTTATTAAGGCCCAATGCAAATTACCAAAACTTATGGGCAAATTAATAGTGGTATAATGTTACTTACATAATAATGCAGGAGGTGCAAAAGACAACCTCGTAAGTCAAATGTTTACCAAAAACACTTTTTAATGTAGTAAATAAGAAAATCTCTCAACGCACATTTTCAAGTTCACCTTTATGCGAATGGGAATTTTTAGTGCCATATACAGAGTTCAATGAAAACCTCCCTGCAGAATGATAAACTCGGCAAGACGCCTGATGACGTGTGAATTCTTACTCTAATTTGAAAAACTTCGTTCAAAACTAAAATGCTTTTCTTTGTAATAAACATCAAAAACCGAGAAAATGTCTCATACAAAAATAAGTATTCAAGAGACGATTTTTTCTCTCCTGAAAAATTTTGTTTTCGGTACTCCCGAGTTTTTCACTCGTCAACGACGATATTATGTAGTTGTAATAGGATTAGGTGTTAATGTAACAGTTATTATGTAAAATAGGTAATAATGACTTATCTCAGATAAGAGTTATTTTACACTTTCCTACTCATTTCTTTTACCCGACACATCTAACCAGATTGAGCAGTTTAGTTAAGAAACTAAGTAGGTTTTCCTCCTGCCGGGCTAGGACGCGCACCATAATAAAATTATATCGACGGTTTTAGACGTCAAATGTATGAGCTTATTGTGCAAAATCGATAAAACGCCTCGATATAAGTTTATCGTCGCGCATCTTACTTAGACCTACTGTACAGTTAGCACGAAAAACTTTCGACTTCGAATCGTTTGCGTATTCGAATCGCCATCAAAAGATTTAGTATGAAAACTTAAATAGCGCCTCTGTTGAACGTGACGAAAAGTGAACTTAGTATGAGAAAAGGTAGCAACGTAACGTAGGTATGCAACGAAACTAATTTAGGCAATCGCGATCGAGGCTAGAATGCGCGCCGCGATAAGCGGTTATCACGCAACTTTATCGATTTTGCTCATACATTTTGAAGTCGATAAGAGTATATATCACGGCGCGCATCCTAGCCCGGCTGGGTATGGAATTTTGTCGAATACGCAAACGATTCGAAGACGAAAGATGTTGGTGCTTGAGGTAAGTACAGGTGTGGAGACTGAACGAACCTGATGATGATGAAAGGTTTGCTCTCTTGCAGATTCCTCCCGCCCGGCAGTTACCTAGACGCGCGGGAGCTGGGTCCTGCGAAGCTAGCGGAGACCATGGACGCCATCTACAGGAACAAGACGCGGTACTACGAGTTCTTTAGATGGCAGAACCACTTCAGGTAATACTAAATTACACTCGGCGCTGGCTAGCCAGTTCCTTTGCTTGAACATGGCTTGACACGCTGCCGATCATTTTTATTAATTTTATCTATAAACTTTACATTAATAAAGCAATGATCAAAGTTACTGAATTTAACAAAGCTAAAGACGCCAAAATTAAATAAATTGGGAGATGTGAACCACGTATAGTTGGATAGTCTTCGTACAACCGCTTCGTCAAAAGTGAGTAAAAATCTTGTCATTCCTGTCAAAAAGCTGCGCTGTTAAAAATGTTTGATAGGAAAGTGAAAGCTTATTATCCACATTTAATTAAAACAATAAAGTTTAAAATTTTCAAGTGGACTGTGGACCAGAATGATGATGCACTAAAAATCACTCCCACTCGTTTATTCTGTGATAGTAAGCTAAGCTTAGCTAGCATAACAAGTACTCGAGTAAGTAATCGTACGTAAGTAGATTCATAAACTACAAATAAGTAGGAACTCGTGCGTGGTTGATTATAATAAATTATTTCCTGGAAAATACTGGAAATTGATTAACAGTGTACCTACCTACCTACATACATTATAATATTCAGCAATACTAGTGATTATTTTTATCTACAATTGATTAGGGGTATCTCGGGCCATTACAGCCGTTCAAAAATTGCCATAGCGGACGGTATTTCACGTCCACAAGGCGGGGTATTGGTAAAGTTTTCAACTAGCAATAATCGCACCTCGGATTAACCTCATTGGTTACGATATTGCCTCTGCGCAAAGTTAATCAATTGAAAACTCCATGGAGGTCTTATAATCAGGAAAAAAACAAATGATACCGCGGGCTAAGTAAGGATAGCGCCATCTGTTGAAATTTTGGCGCAGTAACTAACGAAACGCCTGACATTGTACAAAAGCACAGACAAAAGGGTTCACCCCAAACTTACTAGGGTGTTTGCGACTATTTTCAACCACGCAGATGGGGAGAAAAAAAAGGGTCGGATCTTTTGTTTACAAACCAAGCTGCTCTGGTCCTACTTTGTATATGCAACTTTATCATGTTTTAACCTTAGATTAATAAAGCCCGAGGTATAAAAATACTGACATAAATTAATTTTATTTACAGAATAACATAACATTTTTTTTTTAATAATGCGAATTATTATAGAATTATAATTTTACTAGTCCAGTAAAAATTCATTAGTTAAGACATAAACAAAGCGATTTCGAAATCACAACCTAATAAGTAGCTAGGCAATCTTTTCTAGGTGCATTTTTTAGGATTCCGTAGCCAAATGGCAAAAATTAGGGTTTCGTAGCCAAATGGCAAAAAACGGAACCCTTATAGATTCGTCATGTCTGTTTATCTGTCCGTGTCTGTCCGTCGTAGGTCACAGCCATTTTTTTCCGAAACTATAAGAGCTATACTGTTGAAACTTGGTAGGTAGATGTATTCTGTGAACCGCATTAAGATTTTGATGCAAAAATAAAAAAATAACGAGAACGAGATCTAGTAAGTAGTTTTTTTTAGTACCTCGTAAATCGTAAACCGCTTATTACCGCGTAATCTTTCATAGAAATAACTTAAATTAAAAAAAAAATTCATTAATCAATGGTACGGAACCCTTTGTGCGTGAGTCCGGCACGCACTTTGTCGGCGTCGTCGAACAACGTCGTATGATCGCAACCGTCAAAATCAGTTTTTTTGCATTAAACTACTCTAAAATAGCCCCTTTATAAACTAATTTTTTAATTTTTCAAAATTCGTAATAATATCGAAGATACAGAATCGAACACCGACGGATGTGATTATTTTAACGCAGTACAGAGACGTGTTTGTGCAAGCGTCATTGTACTTCGGAAGACTGCAAATCGTTTGTTGGAATAGCTTATACATTTGTATTCGTATTGTTATTGAATGTATCTAGAATTTCGTCTTTATATCTATAAGTTTGGACACTTAATTGTTTTGATGACTGAAAGTCACAACCATCTCTTTACTAGGGTAGTCAGAGAAAAAAAAAACTGTGACGTACGTACACACCCGTCGTTGTACTAGGAAGTTCGAAAATAAAAGAAACAGTGTCCTTTTGTTTTTATTTTATGGTATTTGTAAGTAGATTGATGAGTATAAACATTAAGAACGTTTGGTACAAAATAATTGTTTTTGGTGGCGGATGTACTGAACTTACATTGTTCTAATANTACTGTGCAGTATTTAACTGCCTAAATAATAATAAAAACACAGAATGTACTTTTTTAAGTTGCCTCAAGACACTGAGAGGTAAATAAGTAGTTAATATTATTCATGATAATTCATGCTAAATCATGTATTTCCTCCGCCATTTTCCGCAATTTGGCACCTCACGTCACATCATTTTACCGAAGTCAGCCCTATAGCTTCGGCGCAGAGCCGATCACTGACGTTTGTCAACAAAATGATGCTTCACTACATTTTTGATATATTAATTTGCTAATGATACAGCTCCACCTGCGTTGATGATAAAATCTGAATATATTACGCGTTAAATAAGTCATTAACGATGGGCATAGGCTAGATTTGAGTAAGTATAATGCCGTCAAAAGTTGAAATAAACTAAAAAAAGAACGAATAATTAGGTCGCCAAACAACATTCATTTCTTATGGTGCGTCCACACTGGGGGCGGACTCGTGCGTGAGCAGGATGACCAGCGTGCCACGCGAGCCCGTTCGCCCAGTGTGGACGCACACAATTCATTATCGTAATAGAACGGTTTCCCTCAAAGTCCAAACGCGCTAAGACGCAAGTGGAGCAATAGCATAAAGATCTCAAACAGTCTATGACCAGCGAGTGACGTACCGTCGGGGTCGGCGAACTGCACGAAGATCTTGACGTTGGCGTGCGCGGGGTCGTCGTCCTCGCTCTGGCGCTCGTTGTAGATCACGAGCCGCTCCACGCGGCCCCACTTCGAGCACTCCTCCTGCGGCAAGAACGAAACTTACGTCAGAACTATCGCTACCAGATAAAACATTCAAGAAATTTCTACGTCACTGTACCTCTAGTGCGAAACTATTTTCGATTTCGAATCGTTTGCGTATTCGAATAAGGGTTTTCGCGAACGAAAGATCCGCTAGATGGCGGGACGTGGATGTGGGGTCTGACTGCTGCGTGATTGGTGGATTTTGACATAATATGTGTCAATGTCATGTCAAAAATAACCAATCATGCAGCATTTGGACCTCGCGTCTACGTATTGCCATCTCAAATGAAAACCCTCATTGCTATCAAAAAAATTAGTATGATAACTTAAACAGCGTCTCTGTGAACGTGACGTAAAGTGAACTAAGTATGAGATATGTTAGCACGAAACCAATTTGGAGAATCGAGATCGTCACGTTATCGTCGAAATCATAGGTTGATTATCGAGTTTTGTCCAAAACGCAAACAGTTTGAAGACAAAAGTTTTACGTGGCACCGATCTGCTGAAAATATCGCACAAAGAATTTAAAAAATATTCGTCTCGAAGCACGGGTGACGTCACACGCTCGAGGAGGCGCGCCGACTGGNCCGCTCAATTTTTATCGGAACACCATGTTAGGATGTCCCTATTAAAACTGAGAAATGCTTGACTTTTGCCTAGGCATATACCTACATAAATAAATTGGTTACAATAACCTGTTATCCCTTACAAGGATGTTCACTTATTACACGTCACCCTGTAAGTATAGGTATGCTTAGAAAGCTTTTCGTCTAAGTTACATTTCATACTTATTTATTTTATTCATTTCTAAGTAGCACTTACTCCGTCAAATCAATGCCCCCTTTACCCTTTCAAGCAGATCCCAACATAATTAAAAAAATAATGCAAGATCTTATAGGTGATAGTTTTTGCATCCAGTGCCTTCCTGCTACCTTTATGAGATCATCGTTCCGCCTTGGTTTGTGGGTGGATGTCGCACGCTTCGTTTTTCGGTATGCAGCCTACTCCAGAACCTTGGTGCCCCATTGGCCGTAAGTGTCCTGCCTATTGTCACTCAGCATGCTAATCTGTCGGGATATGTCATCGAATTTAGTTTGTTTACGGACCTCCCTCATTTATGATATGATTTGATCTCGTAAAGAAACACTGACATAACCCTTGCTATAGCACGCCGTGCAACTTTGAGCTTCTTTGAGAGCCAACGTTTTGGACCTATAATAGGGTAACACACACTGCTGGTAGACTCTCGTCTTTAGGCACTTTAGGATTTTGGACGAAAAGATGTCTAGTTTTCCGGATACTGCCCAGTCGAGGTAGATTCGTTGATTGACCTCTTTCTCGAAGTTGGAGCTACCCAGCTAAATCTTTTGTCCAAGGTAGACATCCTACTTGTCAATAATCTCAAGAATTGAGATCCCAACCGAAGTTGGGTAGGGTGCAACATGGACATTCGACATAAGCTCATTTTTTCCATGTTCATCCAAAGGCCCCGTTGGGATACTCGATTAAGGTCTTTAATATTTATTTATTTATTTATTTAAAACTTATATGCACATAGAACGGTGTACATAAGGCGGACTTAATGCCTTTCGGACATTTTCTGCCAATATTGTGTCGAGGTCTTCCAAAGATTCTGCCATGACCATAATATTATCGTCGGCATACCTAAGGTGAGTGTTGTACTCGTCGTTGATATTTATGCCGAATCCTTTCATTCCAGGAGTTGGACAGGTGAACGAACAGTTTTGGAAATAGGTATAAAATCTCCCAGCCTTACGCCTCGCTGTAGTGGAATCGCGCTCGTGCTCTGCTTCTGTATTCGGGCCGGATTGGTGCGTTCATGTAGAAGTACTTCAGTACCTCGATGTAACGAGAGTCGATACGGCCGCGGTGCATGGAGAGATTGCAGCACTGCCCAAATTTCGATCAAATCGAAGGCATTCTCATAGTCTACGAACTCCAAGCATAGTGGCAAGTTATACTCTTCGATCTTCTGCATAACCTGCCGCAGTATAAGGATGTGGTTTATCTATCATTGATTTTTGTTAATTTTCTTTGATACCTATTGTCTTTATTTATAAATTAATTAATAATGAAACCTAATAAACAATGTTTTTTGTTTATTTCCTCCAACTTTCTTCATCATCCGACGGGTACTCATGGCAGAAGTTCCGTAGAATAATGACTAAAAGTGACATACGTCATATATTTGATTAAAAAAATTCGCAGAACAACGACGGTTTATCACATACATCCTCAAATTGTCCATAGAATAATGACGCATGTGATTTTTACAAAAAACTAAGTATTTTTGGAGATGGGTACATAGTTTATATAAAATAACATCTTTATGTTTATAACATCCCCAAATTTGAAACCGATCAGCCAAGTAGTTTTTTTTGTAGACACAAAAAACCGGTTCCAAAACTTCAAAACGCTCTCCTGGAAACTTAACATTTCGCAGTTACGTCGTTGTTCGACGACGCCGACGACTTGGCCGGTTTATTTATAAAATTTAATTTTTCGCTCTTTTGCGTCTACTCAGAAGTTTGGTTTTGTGAAGCAAAGCGTGACCTGCACCCCGATTACGGTAACTTTTAACGTCTACAATCCAGACACGCTTCATCGATTCTGCGATACGATTGCATTGGTCAAAACAGCTGACGTACGCTGTTGAACGACCAATCGTATCGCAGAATCAGAAACGCGTCTGGATTGGAAACGTTAAAAGTTACCGTAATCGGGTCTCAGTCTACCTAGAAGATTATTTTTTTTTCACAAAAATCAGTCATTCAGTTAAAAAGTATTAAAGTACCTAAGTACTAAGGTATTTTCTTTTTTTTTTTTCAGGTACAAAGAGACCTTCGAACCGGATGTGTGCAACCTATGCGCTGCACTGAACGACGTAGGTGCAGTGAGCCGGCGCACCGAGTACCAGCACTTCCGGCGCTGGTGGAACGACGAGCAGTGGAACGGGCAGGACCACACCTGCTGACAACGCACTGCGCTGACAACGCACTGCGCTAACTCAGTTAACTGCGCCGCTTTTGATTTGGCTTGTTTAAAACTAATGTTGATGCCACATTGTGTTGATGGAATAAATGTCAGTGTTAGACAATTTGTGATAACTGTGACAAGAACATAGATTATTGTTTGATCTGAAAGACTACTTACAGTGCCTTCAAACAACTAGAAAAAAAACATGACTTTACCTAACTAAAACTGTGTTCTTAATTTAAGTAATTAATTTTTAAGTAAAAATAGGTTAAAAGAAAAATAGTATCAAATATTTTTCTACACTTATACAGGGTTCGGTGCTATTTAACGGTAGTTTTAGTTTCAAAATATTTTTGTACTTGTAAATAGCTCTTGTAGTGGCAGAGCAAACTTATTTTGAAAACAGAAATGTGCTAAAAACTAGGCTTTCTAAAGTATAGGGTAAGTGCGCTANTGTCCAAAGATTTATTATTATTTTGTCCAGAAATATTTTTTCAGTCTAGACAAATTCGAGTAGATTTCGAGTTTTAACATAAAGTAAAGTAGGGGTTCCGAAAGTGGGGAGCGCGCCCCCTTTGGCGCAAAGACCTTTAACCCTTTCGGACCCGCGCTTAAACTAGAAAGAAATTTGTAATTTTGAACATGAATTTTAGGTAATTTGGGGCCGCAGATTACGAATCTGCTATAATTTTCCAGATTTTCCGCCACCATCTTGGAAAATTCATATACCAACAATTGTTTCAAACTGGGCCCTTCACTTCCTACGTACAATTGTGAGGGTCAAAATTGTAAGGGTTTTGGATATTTTATCAATGGCATGTATTCCGAAAAACGTATTTATAACCAGTAAGGAATAAACAGGTTTAATTTTTATACCAGTATTTGCCATTTAATATTGATTTGTGGGCAAAACCATCTGTTCCATGAGCTCACCAGTAAATATAGCGCTCGAAATATTCCTATGGAGTTTTAATATCTTCTGGAACATCAACAGCATCTCCTGGAAGATGTTGACGATTGAAGGGCTTCGTCTGCTATGCCGCTTGCATACTCAGAGGTATGTATCGTAATGAATGTCTGAGCCTTCATCAGAAGAAGAGGAGTAGTTCATCTGAAGTAGTCGAAACTAGCTTTTGTCGTTGTCATCGCTCTCATCCCCAGATGTATTGAGCATCTCTGCGATAGTAGCGTCGTTTGAAATCGGAAACATGGTGCGGAGACCATGAAAAATTAATATTTACGAGAAACTTGAAATACGCTTAAGGTATTGTAGGGCCCACGTCGATACAATTGTGTCAGTAAAGTTTGTTAAGCCGTTACGCCAAAGCCTTTGCTTACAAGTAGTTACTGTTATCACAAAAAGATGCTATTTTTAACTATTTGTCTAATCAATAACTTTAAAATTACTATAATTACAAAATAAANTCATTGAAGTAAAATTATTATTAAAAATATTAACTAGGTGTCAGGGTTTCCGTCCACGTGGACGAAAACCAAAATCTTGCAAAATTGTTATGCTAGTATTAGTCCACTTAATTGTCTAAGATTTCTATACAAAAACTTTAATAAACCCTTAAAATAGTGTTTATTATGCTAATAATTAGACATTCGTGCCAAAAACATTACGTAAAGTAGCTAAAACAGTAATTAAACATACCATGAAAGTTCCCTACCGGCACGTTTTTTTCTTACTTGACGACCTTTTTTATTCACCTCTGTGCAGCAGCAACTTCCGTAGATTTTTTTTGGAGTTATTACTTGTCAAATTACATTTTCATGCAGGCAGAACTGTTACTTAGATATTATAGATTGTAACAAGTCCAAACTTGCACGGAAAGTTAGGTTTGTATTCTAATTTTCCGTATTTGTTTGTGGCAAGTCGGTCAAATGGACGAAAACAGGAGCTGGACGGAAAACCGGCGCAATTACCCTACCTGCCTACATAAGTAGCAGTTTTACAGTGGCATAGCATAGCCACTTTTAGACATTACAATGACAATACTGTAAAATGTTACGCTTTACGAACTTAATAATATTACTTAGTTATCTTTAAGGTAGCACATGTATGTAGGTACTTACGTAATCTATTGATTTTTCTAAATTTATTGTGGGTTGGTGCGATGACACATTCTTTTATCACTTGTTACCTACCTTCCTATAGATAATGTTTTATTATTTGTTAGATTATAACTATTGATCATAAATGATAAGTAGTAAGTAAGTATTCTGCCGTGTTCGTTTGTATCATGGCGTGGCGTGGTCATTAATTTGTTATCATAGCCATTTTAGTTATTAAAGGTAGACCGCGCCTCTATGTCCTACTTATGAATAAAAATTGTTTCCTACCTGTTTTTAAATAAATGTGACTTAAAAATCATTTTTTTAATTAATAATTTCCAACTACTTTACCCCCAAATTCATAAAAATGAATTTAGTACAACTTAGTTTTAGTTTACAACAATCATTATTCATCACTTATATATGACTTACACCAAGGTTTCAAGGTGCATGGAAGTTTAAATGTATCTTGCAAAGAATGATTAAAATTGTTTTGCACGGAGTCAGAAAACAGAAACACTACATAATTATTTAATTTTGCTAAATGGTTTTTGTAACAAACGAAACGTATTTGACGGAAATCTATAGCTTCATGGAAATAACACTGCAGATAAATCAGCCAATCGTGTTCGTTCCGCCCCGTCATTCAATAGCAAACCAACCAATACAAAACCAGGATTGTTATCAATCCCGCTTTTCATTGGTCATTCAACTTTGGATCCGTCAAAGCTGTCAAAATGGGTGAAAGTTGAAGGAATTTCAGATGATTTTTCTCCAACGTCAACAATAAAATAGTGTTTTATTTAATTTCGTGGGAAAATTACATGAAAAATATATTTAGTTGAAGTGAACAAAATGACGAGTACGTCATCCTACAATAATGACAAAGTGGTCACAGGAGAAGTGGAATATCCAGCAACTGATCCGGCTTCTGGGGCATTTTTCCAACCAGATTACAAAAAGTAAGTGAAACTAACAACTAAAGTGAATTTCTATAAATTCGTTTTTCGTCGTGATCTGTGCTATTAACCAAACAGTTAAGTAGATGGATAGTTGATGAATGTACTGATATTTTTTAAAGTTCTTTACACAACCATCATTCATTTCTTATTAAGTATTTATAATGAAAAACTCACAGAAATACCTTAAATCACATTACTTTAAAACCTGCTTGCCAATTTTGGAAGCAGTTATGGGTATTTATGTAAAATTTGGACATAAAGAATTAATTATTTGTTTTAGGAATGGTGACTTGAAAATAATGCTGGATGGGTCAAAAGACTCCCTAAAACTTGAGGCTATGAAACGGATCATTGGCATGATCGCTAAAGGAAGGGATGCTTCTGATTTGTAAGTACATACTTTAGGCTTTTTTATCTAGTAAATTACATTTTCAAAGACTGATTTACTGTTACGATTGTTAGTCATGGAATACTGAGATTCCAGACACAAGGCTAAATTATTTGTGTCTTGTCCTGATCAGTGCTAAGGCATATTATAGGGCAGTGTTTTCAACCTTTTTTTTTCATGACTATCCCTATTATGAAAAAATATTTGGCGACCCCCCGACCGCTTGCTTTTTTTTTTCATGCATTTTATAATGTTACAAAGATATTGTAGGAACCATTTGCATAATTATTAGATTTCGGATAAATTTATCTTTATAACTTTACTGTTTTTTTTACTGAGGTAGTTTTTACGACCTCTCGCGACCCCCCTATGAAGGCTTGGCGACCCCCTAGGGGGTCGTGACCCACAGGTTGAAAAACATTGTTATAGGGCATAATATTTCATTGTTACTTAAACAGCCCAACACAACGATGAAATTAAGTATATAGTTATATCTTATTTGAATTATTTCAGATTCCCAGCAGTAGTGAAGAATGTGGTGTCAAAGAACATCGAAGTGAAAAAGCTGGTGTATGTGTACCTCGTCCGGTACGCAGAGGAGCAGCAGGACCTGGCACTCCTTTCCATCAGTACTTTCCAGAGGGCTCTGAAGGTATTTATTAGAGGGAGTTTTGCTCATGTGTCTGTCTGTTACTATCTATATGTCACTTATACACGTATACAGCTGAGGTGGCACCAGGGGCACATGCCCCCCCAATGATGTCACTTATGAAATTGACAAAAGAGAGACAGATGAGATTCATTGAAGTACTTCATGAATCTATTCAAGCATTAAATTTGGTATAACACAGTGTTTTGAATCTCTGAATGGTGATTCAGATTTATCAGTTATAGTATTAAGTCGAAGTTGTTATTGTTTTGCATGGAAGGTGTACTTTCTTACATTCTCACAAAGATGAAGATTTTACTGAGATGACACTTGTGACTTTATTTTGTAATTTTCTAAATTACAGTGATGTAGGGTACTATAATCGTTATTTTTTTATCAAATCTCTTTAACATTGACTTTTAAATGATCAACTCAGGATCCAAACCAGCTGATTCGCGCGAGCGCTCTCCGCGTGCTGTCGTCCATTCGCGTGACGATGATCGTGCCCATCGTCATGCTGGCCATCCGAGACTCGGCCAGTGATATGAGCCCTTACGTCAGGAAAACGGCTGCTCACGCCATCCCTAAGTTATACAGGTAGGTTTTAGTTTTAACTTTATTAAAAGAATGTACACACGGCCACACTGTTAACTATCCATTTCCGTTTTTGCTCTCGCTCTCATCAAAAGGATCATCATTCAACCGTTCACTGTCAAAGATGATTCTTTGCGATAGAACGAGATGACATGACAGGCAATGGGTAGTTAACACTGTTGCCGATAGTACGGACGACAGCACATCAACCTAAACACAGTGGCGTCTTATCTCGTTGTAATACAGGCTATTTTGCAACAAAAAGGTGTAGGTTGATGTGCTTTCGACTGTACAATGATTGAAATTCTGTGATGAAATTTTTACAATAACGAAAAAATGCCAAATAAATGCACCACCATTATGACCACTTATTGCAATCTTGTAAATCTTTTATGTATCAATCCAGTTAGCAAAAGTGTAAGTATAATACCAGTTAAGCGCACGCGCATGGATGACATTTTTGTCGCCGTGGGCCTGTGGCAGTATTTTCCATGGTAGCATAAGTATGTTTCTTTTACACCTTTATAAAGAGAAGAAGAGAGGCATAATATTGTCACAGTGACAAAAGTCACCCGTGCGCGCGCGCTGTTAGAGTGCACATCTAAAGATACAAATAAATGATTGAAGACATGAAACTTAGCCATTGAGCCTTCAATATCAATAGTGTGTAAAGAGTGAGGTGTCCACATACCTTCTATGTGTCAAAAATGGTAGCATATTTTGCAGCCTTCTATAATGATGGAGCATGTTGCTTATTCCAGCATCGACCCCGACCAAAAGGAGGAGTTGGTGGCTATAATAGACAAGCTGTTGTCGGACAAGGCGCCGCTGGTGGTGGGCTCCGCTGCCATGGCTTTCTCCGAGGTCTGTCCTGACAGGATGAGCCTCATCCACAGGAGTTACCGGTGAGTGACAGCATTGACACTGACGTAAGGAGGCCGAACCATCAGGGCCGTCTTTAACCTACTAGGGGCCCTGGGCACTTAAGGATCAAGAGTGGCCCTTATCATCTGGAGAAAGGTCTTTCGAGCAGACGGGGAACCCCTCGGTCTCGGGGCCCTGGGCACGTGCCCTAAGTGCCCAGTGAGAAAGAGGTGCCTGGTAACCATTGCATTGACACAGAGAAATACAAGGACGTACAAGTTAGTGATAGCATCCCAAAGCTACCAGTGAGTAACTGCATCTACCCAAAGACAAGGAGCATGAGTGAACATCGTATGGACTTGGTTAAAGACAAGTTGCTGTCGGACAAGGCGCCGCTCGTGGTGGGCTCAGCAGCCATGGCCTTCTTCGAGGTATGTCCTGATAGGATGAGCCTCATCCACAGGAGTTACCGGTGAGTGACAGCAATAACCAGGGAACAAGGGCTACCAGCTAATCAATCCAGATTTGCAGATTAGGAGCTACTGGTGAGCGGCTACATCGATCACAGATAAGGTAAGGCAGAGGCTTCTGTTGAAAAACGGCATGTTTTTAAAGAAAAGGAGGTGATAGTGACTGCATAATCCCAGAGTCAAAAAGCTATAGTGAGTCGCATCATTGACCCTGGCACAAGAAACTCTTGTGTCTCTGAGATAAGTTGGTACTGGTCGTTGACCATATTAACCTAGAGCAGTGGTTCTTAACCTTTATGTCTCGAGGGACCATTTTACCAAATTTCTGTCTTGTCAGGGACCACTTTTTTTTTTCAAAATTCTATGAAAGGGGAGGTCGATTTCTCGCCCACTGTGCGCCGTTTGCGTTGTGTTGACTCGACTCATCACGTCACTTGTTTATTACGATGTCCTCGCGGACCACTTGGAATGCCTCCAGGGACCACCAGTGGTCCGCGGACCACCGGTTAAGAACCACTGATCTAGAGACAGCAAACGGTGAATAACATATTCGATCCATAGACAAGAGCTACCGGTTTGGCCTTATTTATTACTGTGATGTTCAAAAAAATTATTTGTTCAATTTCAGGAAACTGTGCTCACTGCTAGCCGATGTGGATGAATGGGGTCAACTGGCGCTTCTTAACGTCCTGACCGTTTATGCCAAGACATGCTTCCCTGATCCCAATAGCGAGGTAAGAAAAACTTTAAATTTACCTAATACCTATGCTACTGTAAAAAATTGTAGAGCTTTATACAATAAGGCCTCAGCCTCGAGTTTAGCGGGCAGCGGGGCGGGAGCGGCGGCGGCGCGGGAGCGGCAGGATCTTATGCGTAGAATCAAATAGACCGGTTCTCGAAAACAGCGGCGCGGCAGCGGCGCCGGAGCGGGCAACGAGCGGGCAGCGCACTCCTTCTTTTGCCCACAATAAATCGAGCGTTAGGAATAAATTTGAATCGAAATAAAATTGTCGCCGTTGTTCAAACATTTCGTTTGCGAATAAAAACAAATATCTCGACAACACAACCCCGAACACAACACTTCGCCGCTAAAGCGCCGCGCGAGCTGCCCGCTTGTTTCTAGAACGGGTCTGCGTTGCCCGCCCAGCTCCCGCGCCGCCGCCGCTCCCGCGCCGCTGCCCGCTAAACTCGAGGCTGAGGCCTAAGGCTTGAAACAGACAACGATAATCGTGGCGGTTGCAGTTGTCGTACATTTTGCATCAAACCGTGACCGCACGGTTACCGCCTCAGTGCCAATAAGAACCACCTAACTGTGCAATTTTGGCACGAGTGCAAATATTTTAAGATTTGAAGATTTGTCGGCCGTTTGGTGTAGTGGTTCAGAACGGACTACTATGCCGAGAGGTCCCGGGTTCGATTCCCGGCCGAGCAGAAATTGAAATGATGAATTTTAATTTCTGTGACGGGTCTGGGTGTGACAATGTATAATATTTATGTATTTAAAAAAAAAGTATATTAGTAGTATATCCGTTAAGCCAGCACCCATTACACAAGCATTAAGTTGCTTACTCTGGGGCTAGCTGGCGCTGTGTGGGCCCTTCACTTCCTACGTACAATTGTGAGGGTCAAAATTGTAAGGGTTTTGGATATTTTATCAATGGCATGTATTCCGAAAAACGTATTTATAACCAGTAAGGAATAAACAGGTTTAATTTTTATACCAGTATTTGCCATTTAATATTGATTTGTGGGCAAAACCATCTGTTCCATGAGCTCACCAGTAAATATAGCGCTCGAAATATTCCTATGGAGTTTTAATATCTTCTGGAACATCAACAGCATCTCCTGGAAGATGTTGACGATTGAAGGGCTTCGTCTGCTATGCCGCTTGCATACTCAGAGGTATGTATCGTAATGAATGTCTGAGCCTTCATCAGAAGAAGAGGAGTAGTTCATCTGAAGTAGTCGAAACTAGCTTTTGTCGTTGTCATCGCTCTCATCCCCAGATGTATTGAGCATCTCTGCGATAGTAGCGTCGTTTGAAATCGGAAACATGGTGCGGAGACCATGAAAAATTAATATTTACGAGAAACTTGAAATACGCTTAAGGTATTGTAGGGCCCACGTCGATACAATTGTGTCAGTAAAGTTTGTTAAGCCGTTACGCCAAAGCCTTTGCTTACAAGTAGTTACTGTTATCACAAAAAGATGCTATTTTTAACTATTTGTCTAATCAATAACTTTAAAATTACTATAATTACAAAATAAAACCATAGTAGGTACTTTCTTTCGCCAAGTCGGGGAGCGCAATCAGTCATGAACTGTACAGGTTGTAACCTGCTCACCAACTGCGCTTCGAACAAAATTTGCACGGGAGGTGAAAGAACGCATCCCGCACAATCGTACGATATTCAGCCCATCCATTTCCGATGTAAAACTAATGAGATAATCTCGATTTTGTAACCCGCACAATTGTATTGGAGCGGTCCGAAAGGGTTAAAGGGGGGTGCGGGCCATAATATCTGTGTAGTTAAGTCTTATAAAACCTGCGACGGCTGAGAGAAAGCATTCATTTAAATTAACCGGCAGACAGTGGTGACTGAGTTTGTTGCGGCGCTTCTTCTCAGCACTTGCCAAATGTTGGTCTCGAAGCACTGGTAGGGTAAAAAGATTATGAGACTTGTAGAGGCTCCTTAAGAGCAAAATGACGATTTATAAGAACTATTTATTAGTCTAAACAAATAAAGAAATTTTGACTGACTTTGACATTCCAGATTGCTCGATACGACCAACAAATAATCTGGACTGGAGGATGGGGGGCGCGGATTTTTTGTATGGTCGAAAGGGGGCACGTCTCAAATAAGTTTGGGAACCCCTGAAGTAGAGAGTAAATAGAAATTTACATAAATACGTGTCCACTTTTTCTAGAACTACTCAAGCGACAGCGACTCGGACAAGCCGTTCTACGATTCCGACAGCGACGAACCTACGTCTCCTAAGAGACACTCGGCGCAGTCCCCAAGTCTAGATCCGGACCACCGTCTATTACTGCGGGCAGCCAAGCCTTTACTGCAAAGCAGGAATTCCGGCGTCGTCATGGCTGTAGCCCAGCTGTTCTACCACTGCGGCCCGGGTGAGTAGCGAGAGGGAGCCTGTGAGGCCACAGTCTTTGTAGCACTTGAATGCACAGCGATGAACCTACGTCTCCCAAGAGACACTCGGCGCAGTCCCCAAGTCTAGACCCCGACCATCGTCTGTTACTGCGGGCAGCCAAGCCACTCCTGCAGAGCAGGAATTCAGGCGTCGTCATGGCTGTAGCCCAGCTGTTCTACCACTGCGGCCCGGGTAAGTAGCGAAAGGGAGCCTGTGAGGCCACAGTCTCTGCAGCACTTCGGGCGTCGTCATGGCTGTGGGGCAGCTGTTCTATCACTGCCGCCAGGGTGAGTGCGATGAAAAGGAGCCTGTGAGGCTACAGTCTAAATCCAGACCACCGCCTGTTGCTGCGGGCAGCCAAGCCACTCCTGCAGAGCAGGAATTCAGGCGTTGTCATGGCTGTAGCCCAGCTGTTCTACCACTGTGGCCCGGGTGAGTAGCGAGAGGGAGCCTGTGAGGCCACAGTCTCTGCAGCACTTCGGGCGTCGTCATGGCTGTGGGGCAGCTTTTGTTCTACCACTGCCGCCAAGGTGAGTGCCTGTGAGGAAACAGCCTAGATCCCAACCACCGCCTGTTGCTGCAGGCAGTAAAGCCTCTGCTACAGAGGCTGGGCTACCCCATCTATACTACCACTTCGACCCGGGTGAGTGTAGTGGGAGCCTGTGAGGCAACAGTGGAGGTCCAGACCATCGTCTGTTGCTGCGGGCAGCAGATACTCGGGCGTCGTCATGGCTCTTGACCAGCTGTTCTACCACTGCGGCCGGGTGAGTGTAGCGGGAGCCTGTGAGGCTACAGTCCACATCCAAACTACTGCCCGCTAGTCTACATCTAGACCACCATATCCTGCTGCGAGCCAAGCCCATACTTCAGAGCAGGAACTGAGAGGGAGCCTGTGAGGCGACAGTCTAGATTTAAACCACTGTCCGCTGCTGTATTACAGATCTATTTAGCTGCTCACTAACGCCCGATTCCCATAATCGATCCTTGTCCAAATCCGGATTACAACTGTCAAATTGAATTCAGTTCTAGATTATATTTCCAAAATTTTCGATGCATTTACACTTTAATATTGTTTAAATAGTCTTATAAACAATATAAAAATGTAAAAACATCAAAAACCGCAGTTATTTTGGCCAAAAACATATTAAAATTTGACAGTTGACAATCCAAATCCGTATTACTTGGATTAGGATTGAATATAGAAATCCAGCATAAATGTTTGTGTTAAATATCATTCCAGTGCAAGAGTTACCTCCAGTGGCAAAGGCTATGGTGCGGCTCTTACGAGCACCTACCGAGGTGCAGAGCGTGGTCCTCAACTCCATCGCCTCGCTCACAGTTACTAAACCGGTAAGTGCCTCAGTAGCTTGCAATATGAGTTTGTGATATCAGGCCTGTTCATCTCCGCGAGTTTACATCGAAAACAAAACACGTACGATGGCCCACCTACAGGATACTATCCGACAAGGCCTCATATACGAGCGAACATTGACTCACGCACGCGTATTCTTGTGTATGATGGAAGAAAATAAAGAAAATGGTGTACTAAATACTGTGCAGTATTTAACTGCCTAAATAATAATAAAAACACAGAATGTACTTTTTTAATTTGCCTCAAGACACTGAGAGGTAAATAAGTAGATAATATTATTCATGATAATTCATGCTAAATCATGTATTTCCTCCGCCATTTTCCGCAGTTTGGCACCTCACGTCACATCATTTTACCGAAGTCAGCCCTATAGCTTCGGCGCAGAGCCGATCGCTGACGTTTGTCAACAAAATGGTGCTTGACTCTTGAGACAGGCTAAATTACACCATATTTTTAATGACATTGAGCATACATTTTTTTAAATACGAAGTAAAACTTCTGCACTTAGTACTTATTATTATTCTGTGGTGATATTGACAGTAAATACTAGCAGGCTAAAAAAACATCAGAGACCATGAGAGAGACATTTAGGCGACTTAGCAGCGCAACAGATGCGCTGCCGATAATTTCATACTATGTGGCAGCGGAAGCCTCCCTTCACATTATAAAAACGCCGCTGCCGCGCTGCTGTCGTGCTTCTAACACTCTAATGTGAAAGCGCTTTGAATATTTTCTTTTTTTTTCAGTGGAAATTTTATTTATTTATTAAAAGAACAATCAACCAGAATTTACTCACCAGTAGCAAATAAGAGTACATAAAGGCAAAGAATTCCAACCAACTGTGTATTTATGTAGTAACCTATGAACACAAGTGGAGTGGGGTAGTCACGCGAGAGCGGACTACTCAAAATCGTCGGTTACAGATTAGTTATTGTATCATAATAGGTTAGTTTCCTAAAAAAATTTTTTTAGTCCGTCAATTTGGATATAAAAAAATATTGAACACGTATATATTTTAAATTGTCAATCAAACAAACAATTACAAAGTTATAATGCGTTGAAGTTCCGCGCGACGTCACAAAGTGCTGCACTTTTACGCACTCACTGACGTCACGGGCCTTTTCTTTAGTACTTTGGCACGCTTTATCTCTACATTTTTATTAGTTTTAAAAAGTGAAAAATACGTGTCGAATAGTTTTTGATAAGCTAACTGACGGACTAATTAAAACTTGCTTTTTTACCCAGGAAACATCCCTATTGTAATGTGTGTCAATTTATTCTGTTTCTGTACAAAATATGTTTACACCTTTTTGATACAATGTTAAAGTGTAAAATCATTCGTTCCAGGGTCTCTTCGAGCCGTTCCTGAAATCGTTCTTCGTGCGCAACTCCGACCCGACGCACATCAAGCTACTCAAGCTGGAGATCCTCACCAACCTCGCCACCGAGTCCAGCGCTCCTGTCGTGTTACGGGAGTTTCAGACCTACGTCACTTCTAGTGATAAGGTACGATTAAAAGCACGCGTCACATCAATTACCAAGAAAAAACATGTAAAAGTGCGTGAAAAACACAAAAGCTAGCTTCCTCAGACTTCCCTATTCATTTCCCTGTAAGTAGTCCTTCGCTTCGCTATTTTGGTCCTTCGAGCCGGATTTGAACAAGCGACTTAGTAGACATAGTCTAGAATTTTCTAGCCTTTGCATGTCTAACTCCACGCGCATCAAATTGCTCAAGCTGGAGATCCTCACCAACCTCGCCACCGAGTCCAGCGCTCCGGTGGTGTTACGGGAGTTGTAGACATACGTCACTTCTAGTGATAAGGTAGGAATAAAAATCACTCTACCCACTCATTACCTTGTAAGTAGTTCTTCGCTTACCATACATTCTGGCCCTCCGAGCCGGATTTGAACTAGCAGCCTCTGCGGGGAATTAGAGATGGTATGGTATTTTCTCGCATTTTCATATTGGGACTCCACGCACATCAAGCTGCTCAAGCTGGAGATCCTCACCAACCTCGCCACCGAGTCCAGCGCTCCTGTTACAGGAGTATGTCTGGAATGTCTAGAACTCCCGTAACACTACAGTAGTGTTACGGGAGTTCCAGACATACGTCACTTCTAGTGATAAGGTAGGATTAGATATTATAGTGTAGGATTTTTAATAAGCGGAGGTCCTCACCAATCTGTCCATGGAGTGGAGTTCTCCATTAGACCTGAAGCAGTTCTAGACTTATATCAGTTTCACCGACAAGGTATGAATACTAATATTCCTAACCTAAGTCCAGTGTAGGATAATCTGGCTATTCTAACCTTTGCGCGTCTAACTCCACGCACATCAAGCTGCTCAAGCTGGCGATCCTCACCAACCTCGCCACCGAGTCCAGCGCTCCTGTAGTGTTACGGGAGTTCCAGACATACGTCACTTCTAGTGATAAGGTACGATTAAAAATTACTCTACACACTTTATTATAAATAATTCGCTTACTTTTCTGGTCCTTCGAGCCGGATTTTATCTAGCGACCTAGTGTAGAGACCTAGTCGCATGTCCGATCCGACGCACATCAAGTTGCTCTACACATTTCCCTGTAAGTAGTCCTTAGCTCACCATTCATTCTGGTCCTTCGAGCCGGATTTCAATCAGCCAACAAGTGTAGAGACCTAGTTGCACGTCCGACCCGTCCCACATCAAGCTGCTCAAGCTGCCACCGAGTCCAGCGCTCCGGTCGTGTTACGGGAGTTCCAGATATACGTCACTTCCAGCGACAAGGTACTATTAAAAGCACGCATCGCATCAATAACCAAGAAAAAACATGTAAAAGTGCGTGAAAAACACAAGCTAGCATCCTGAGACTTCTCTACACATTTTTCTATAAGTAGTCCTTCGCTTAGCATAATATTCTGGTCCTTCGAGCCGGATTTCAACCAGCTACCATTGTGGGGATGGTCTAGAATTTTCTAACCTTTGCAAATCCGACTCCACGCACATCAATTTCAAGAGGTCCTCACTCCAGCGCCATATAATACCAGACCAACGTCACTTCCAGCGACAAGGTTGAAATATTATCCGCCTCGAAGGACCAACTATTTTGAAGTTAGTTAAGATATTGAGTAGAGATATTTGGAATTTTCTGAACTTGTTGCATGCCATCTAAAGCCTGGTCCGTGAGCACGTAGAATTTTGTCCAATGACCCCAAGCTACCCATCCTTATCGCTCGCCCGTAATTATGTTGCTGTCGCGCTCGCACACTCACTGCGGGCGCGCGTCGCACAGTCGCGACAGCAACACAGACAGAGTTACTTTCGCATTTATAATATTAGTTGGGATTATACTGTACTTACACTTAAAATTTATACGCGTACTATTATTATTATTTATGTTTGTATATTTTATGCAGTATAGGTTAGTGTCCGTGACTCCCACTCGGCATGGGGCACACTGAAAACCAGCGTCGTGGCCTCCCTCACCGGGGGCCATGGCATATGCTGAGTGGGGTCCCATTGCGATGGACATCGCTGTGCGACAGGGTGGCACTGCTCAGTTTTACTTTCACTTTCATTGTATGTTTTATTTTATGTCACCTATGTCTTATTTACTTTTTTTTCTATTATTTACATCTTTTGTCTTCTGTGATGTCCATGGCAATAAATGTTTCTTTCTTTCTTTCTTTCTTTAAATTATTTAAATTTTTCATTTCAGGCATTTGCTGGAGCTACCATTCAGGCGATAGGCCGGCTGGCGGTCGCCATACACTCGGAAACTGAGACCTGCCTCAATGGACTTTTGCATCTGCTGTCTAGCAAAGATGGTAAATATAAACATAATTAAATGTGATAGGGATAGAGATATGCGATTTTTAGTTTTACAAATGTAATACGATAGAGAATAATATAAGGTTATGAAAACCACCAGTTATGGGTTATGGGGGCATTATTTGGAGAAAATTATCAAATAACCAAAAAAAACACGAATTTAAAAGCAGTTTTTTTTTCAAAAGGTATTATTTTTTAGCATATTCTGAGTATTTTATGTTTTTTTTAGTATCGCCTGTTATTATAGCATTATTACTGTTTTTATTTTATCAGGATATACCTCTTAGTTTAAAAGTTATTACGTTTTCTTTACAATAAGTAATTAGAAGAAAAAAAAATTCTATAAAAAAAATTACCTCTTTTTTGTCGATAAAAATAGGTCTAAAGCCTGGTCCGTGAGCATGTAGAATCCCGTCCAATGACCCCAAGCTACCCATCCTTATCGCTCGCGTGTAATTATATTGCTGTCGCGACTGTGCGACGGGCGCCCGCAGTGAGTGTGCGAGCGCGACAGCAACATAATTACGTGCGGGCGACAAGGATGGGCAGCTTGGGGTCATTGGACGGGATTCTACGTGCTCACGGACCAGGCTTTAGTTTCATCTATTTTTATATGTGCACTTTATCGTGACTAACACTGTATTATTCAGTGATGTCACGACCTATGCGACGCTGCCTGAACAGTGACGTGCATTGTACTGTAGTTACTTGTCATGCAGAGTGGGTGGTGTGTGAAGCGGTGGTGGTGGTGAAACGCGTGGTGGGCGGAGGAGCCGCGTCCGCCCGCGCTGCCGTCGCGCGCGCCGCCAAGCTGCTACGGCAGGACCGGTTAGTGTTACCACGTTTTGAACTTTATTGAGACAATATATTTTAATACCAATGGAAATAATTTTTCTCATTTAAGGGGTTGTACTTGTAATATCGCAGAAGATTTCAGGTTCGTTCTTTTCAGCCAAATAACATTCACTGTTAAACGGAGGATGGATTTCCACAACGACTGATCGTATACTGCCGGCATTCAGGTACTTCTCACGACTTTAACCAGATCGTCGGTTCACCTAGTGGGAGACCTGCCCACACTACGTATTCCTGAGGCCGGTACTCGAAAACTTAATTTTTTTGGTGGAAACGAAACAAAATTATCAAGATAATTACGCTTCATCATTAATTATCAACAGTATAAGATACATTTGTCATATTGTTACATAAGAAATTCTTATTGCTAATGTTGTTTTATGTTTTTGGTTGCTGATCGTTGTCAATTTATCCATCGCTAGTCGCATAAAGCTTGGAAATATTAGATAAATATTTTCACGCTAGATAACTAGTGATCATTGTGAAGTTAAATAGATAGGTTTTATAATTATCTATGTTGATTAACGCCCACCATTAGACGAAAGTGCGGAAATACCCGTTCGAAAACTTCGAATACAGTAATTTTTGTTATTATCAACCGATAATTATCCATCTGTTATTATCACGATAATTATCGTGATAATTATCATTGATAATTATCCTTACGAACCTTGCCACAGACAGACACACACACAGATACACAGACACACAAACACGTCAAACTTATAACACCCCGTGGTTTTTCGTCGGGGGTTAAAAACTGATGTTCTTTGGTCAAATATTCCAGGCTGGCTCCGGCCGCGCGCGCGGCGGCCGTGTGGCTGGTGGCGGAGCACGGCGCCAAGCACCCGCGCGCCGCCGCCATCTTGGCACACATGGCCGCCAACTTCGCCGACCAGGTAGGTTGGTTTACCCGACTGCGCACAAGCAAATGCTAGTAATAATATACAGGGTAGAATTTTGTAATGCCACCTGGAGGGAAAGTACTCTTAATAATGTAGATAGAAAATTTTACTCAAAGAAAACATTCCTTTATTTTTGAAAAGAAATAGAACTGCATTCAAAGGTTTCCAAAAATTTGCATGCCACACCCGGGAATCGAACCAACTAAAATTTGTTAAAAATTACACCCTGTATTTTTATTGCATCGATTGTTAGGGTTAAGTTTATGGATGAAATCTCTTCAACAAACTTGATAAATTAAATGAAAGGAAAACCATGAAATCTTAAATTATTTTAATTATTTACAAAAAATTGTATGGTATGGTTGTGCATTTTCGAAAAATTTTCAAAAATCTTTGAATGCAGATCTCTTTGTTTTCAAAAATTAAGGAATGTTTTCTTTGAGTAAAATTTTCTATCTACAATATTAAGAGTACTTTCCCCCTCCAGGTGGCATTACAAAATTCCACCCTGTATATATTCAAAATGTACAAGTAAAGCGCTTTCAAATGATACCAAACACGGCATATTTATCTTAACTTTATTTTTTTACTCTGTATGTTTTGTCCGCTAGAAGGCGCCACATTAGATTTTGTGAAACCCCATATAGCCTATAACCAGCGGACAATTAAGACGCTTCTAATGATATGTCATTTGTCGAATTCTGATAAGAAGTTATGAGGGAACAGATGAACATACATACATAACCCGTCAAAATCATAACCCTCCTTTTGCTTTGCCGTAGTCGGGTAAAAAGGTAGTCAAGTGTTTATCGGACTTTGAATGTACTTCTTTCTTTGTAGCAGTAGAAGCACAGATCACAGAAACTAAAGAGGATGTGACAAGGGGGCGGAGCCGGTGTCGTAGCAATATGCCCATAAACAACACATTGCTCGTGAAAGTAATATATCGTATTACTTTCACGAGCAATGGATAATGCAACCGCAGTGGATAATGAGCACATATTTTGGTCACTTTGTGTGTGTGTGAATTTCTAATGCGACACTGAGTTTCGAACTCGCCGTATTAGTTGGCATCTCTCTAATCTCTATATCTCTATGAGTAGAAGCAACCGTGGGGGGATTTCAATGATTCTTTTTCTCATACTACCAAAATATTTAAATTTTCCAAGACGAGCTAGTAAAACTTCAGCTCCTCTCTCTAGCTGTGAAGCTATCAATCACCCAACCTGACACGCTTTTAGTCTGCCGCTACATCGTCTCGCTAGCTCGCGAGCTATGACGTCAGAGACCGAGTATTTTGTCATCTTTATACCCTAAATATTACTTTTTCAGGACGAACTATTAAAACTTCAGCTCCTCTCTCTAGCTGTAAAACTGTCAATCACACAACCAGATATGTTACCAGTCTGCCAATACAACGTCTCACTAGCTCGCGAGCTATGACGTCAGAGACCGAAATTTGCCATCATTCTACCCACAAGACTGAAAAGATGGCAAATATTACAGTTGGACCAAAGATGCTAGTGGCTTGGACTGAATATTGGAAGGCTGGACTAGATTGCTACGTGAATTAGTAAAAACCGAGGGAGAGAATTTACTGGAATACCCCTCCTCATGAACACAAACAAAAAAGCAAGACAAAACATCTGATTATGACCTAAGTCGATTGCAGATTTGAAAAGGGAAAAAAAAATTCTACCCAATTTTATTTCTTTTTCCAGGACGAGTTGGTGAAACTCCAGCTCCTATCGCTAGCTGTAAAACTCTCAATCACCCAACCAGACACGCTTCCCGTCTGCCTAGCTCGCGAGCTATGACGTCAGAGACTGAAACTTGTGCCATTATTCAACCCAAAATATTTATTTTTTCAGGACGAGCTAGTAAAACTCCAGCTGCTCTCACTAGCTGTCAAACTCTCAATCACGCAACCAGACACGCTTCCAGTCTGCCGGTACATAGTCTCGCTAGCTCGCTACGACGCGAGCTATGACGTCAGAGACCGAGTCTTTTTCCATCATCTTATATCCAAAATAATTTTAAATTTTCCAGGACGAGCTAGTAAAACTTCAGCTTCTTTCTCTAGCTGTTAAGCTATTAATCATCCAACCAAGTCTGCCGCTACATAGTCTCACTAGCTCGCTAGCTCGCGAGCTATGACGTCAGAGACCGAAACTTATGCCATCATTTCACCCAAAATATTTATTTTTCAGGACGAGCTAGTAAAACTCCAGCTGCTCTCACTAGCTGTCAAACTCTCAATCACGCAACCAGACACGCTTCCAGTCTGCCGGTACATCGTCTCGCTAGCTCGCTACGACGCGAGCTATGACGTCAGAGACCGAGCTAGAATGCTGCGGAGGTTTATTGAACCGCAGAATGGAAAGCTGTTGGCTGCCTTCGCGGCTGAAATATTCCGTCCGGATAAGCCGAAACCGACTGTGGAGAGTAGTTTTAAAGGTGAATGTTGCTTGATAAATGATCGTGTTTAAAGCCCGGACTGTGAGCACGTAGAATTTTGTCCAATGACCCCAAGCTGTCCAATAACTGTGCGACGGGCGCCCGCAGTGAGTGCGAGCGCGACAGCAACATAATTACGCGCGAGCGATAAGGATGGGTAGCTTGGGGTCATTGGACAAAATTCTACGTGCTCACAGACCAGACTATAGTTGATTTCATTTATTTAAATAATGCAATGGGATTAAGGGGTTGTCTTAAAATCTCTTTTTAAGTGAACTATTCAAATTGTATCATTATATTTATAAGTTCTTATAATAAATAATATCTTTTAACCTAAAAAAATTGACACAGTATAAAAGATGCAGCATAATAAATAAACCTATCAACAGGCCCCGTTCAGTATTCGTCATGACATGCTGTCTTCCGCGGACACACTTGATCGTTGGCAATTTATTTTGCCAGTAAAACTACAATTAAATACTATCGGGGTATTTTATCGATTTTAAACGACACATTTGTCGTCATAAACGATATAAAATTACGATAAGATTTTTATTTTTATTCGATTTTAGAAATTATATGTGATTATTGCTGAAGTGGCAATGGGCAGGGCACATAGTACGCAGAACTGACAGCCGATAGAGCAGAAAGGTTCTGGAATGGAGGCCGCGTACCGGAAAACGCAGCGTGGGACGTCCACCTACAAGGTGGATCGACGACATCGTAAAGGTAGCAGGGAAGCGCTGGATGCAGGCCGCTACCAATCGATCAACATGGAAAGCATTGGGGGAGGTATATGTTCAGCAGTGGACGTCCTGTGGCTGAAATGATGATGATGTGTGATTATTATCTTCTTCGTCTTCGTTTCAGCCAAATGACGTCCACTGCTGGACAAAGGCCTCCCCCAAGGTTTTCCACAATGAACGGTCCTGCGCTGCCCGCATCCAGGCTCTTCCCGCGACCTTTACCAGATCGTCGGTCCACCTAGTAGGAGTAGTGATTATTATACATTTTGTTTACTCATGCTGTCATTGCATTCCAGACCGTACGCAGTTCGCGGTAGGCACACTGTCGCAGTACATCGGTAGCTCTAGCTTTAGCTTTGTTTATATCTCTGTTGTTTCACTACATCGTCAATGCATTCCAGACCGTACGTACCTTATAATAGTAGCAATATCTTTATTCACCTCTGCTGTCATTGCATTCCAGACCGTACGCAGTTCGCGGTAGGCACACTGTCGCAGTACATCGGCAGGGTTATATCCCTGTTGTTTCACTACGTTGTAGTTTCATTCCAGACTATAATACGCACCTGAGCACCTGATAATCGTAGCAATACCTTTTAATTACCTCGACTGTCAATGGATTCAAATTCAAATTCTTTATTGCTCCAATGTTGGTATATAAAAGTTCTTACATAGACCCAAAACATGGACCCTGTATTGCAACATGAGATTAAATCTAATAAGTATTGTAATTTGCAGCATTGCAGGCTGTATGCACCTAACAATCGTAGTAATACCTTTGTATAACTCTACTGTCATTGCATTCCAGACCGTACGCAGTTCGCGGTAGGCACACTGTCGCAGTACATCGGGTCGGCGGCCAGCGGGTACCGCGCGCTGCCCGCCGCGCCGCCCGCCGCGCTCGCCGCCGCCGCCCGCCAGCGGGACGAGCACGCCGACCGCGCGCCGCCGCCGGACCGCGCCGAGCCGCCGGTAAGTAAGAAAGAAAGAAACATTTATTGCCATGGACATCACAAAATACAATAGAGGTAAATAAAAAGCAAATAAGACAAAGGTGACACATAAAACATACAATGGAAGAGAAAGTAGACTGAGCAGTGCCACCCTGTCGCACAGCGATGCCCATTGCAATGGGACCCCACTCAGCATTAGCCGTGGCCCCCGGTGTGGAAGGCCACGACGCTGGTTTTCAGTGTGCCCCATGCCGAGTGGGAGTCACGGACACTAACCTATACTGCATAAAATATACATAATAATAGTAAAAACAAAATAAAATACCAATAATCTCATCTCTATAAATTCACTGCCACACAAAATCACGCTACCACTAATAAAGAACACGCTCGCTGCGCCGACGCCGACGTCACTGACCGGGCGCCGCCGCCGGACCGCACCGAGCCGCCGGTATGTAGTGCAACATTACTACTATCACTGCATTCTAGACCGTACGCAGTTCACAGTAGGCACAATGTCGCAGTACACCGCCCGCCGCGCTCGGCGCAGCCATCCGCGAGCCGGACCGCGCCGAGCCGCCGGTATGTGATACAAAACACTAAGCAGGGTACTCATCTAGCCGTGTAGCATGTAATGTATCAGATACTGTATCAAGTGAGTACATAGGCACGAGCCCGCTGCGAGCTGCTCGCGCGTGGTTCGCAGCGACCCGCCGAGTGTCGGTATCACTGCGAGCACAAAGGCGGCTCGCAGTAGGATCCAGGAGCTCGCAGCCAGATACGCGATGACCGTGGACAAGCCGTACTCACTTGAAGGTTAGATACGTTACATGCTACGTTACGTGCTACATGGCAGGTGAGTACCCTGCCCTATGGTTTGTTTTAGTTGCCACCGCTGTGATTCCAACTTGCAACTTCGCTACCTATGAAGACCACGCTCGGCGTCGCCGCCGGATAGGGCCTCGTGTGCAAAAAAAATGTGGTCCATCAATTTATTATTATTATCAAAAATATTTGACAAGTATACTTATTTTTATTTCTCAATCAAACAAGTAATATCGTAGTTGACAAATAATAATGCATAACTTCGTTGCAAGTTAAGTTCCACGTGACGTCACGCCGCGTTACACTTTATGCAACGTAATGACTCCCTACATTTGGGCTTTAATGCGCTTTATCTCTGACAAATTTGGGCTAATTCCACTATTCCCCGTTGACAATCCCCGTCAACGGGGATTAGTGAACTTTTTGTTCACTGTTCCCCGTTAACGCTAATTGGAGCTTAGATAGACCAAAACGCTGAATTTAGGTCTAGTGTTGAGAAATACTTGCAATCTCTTGTTTTTACTATAAGGTCCTCAATTAGAGGAAATGGTTGTGATTGAGGTACAACTATTTTATTCAAGTCTCGAAAATCGATGCACAATCTTGATCTTTTATTCTCATCTCTTTTATAAGCCAATGTGACTGGTGCTGCGAATGGGCTATATGATTCTTCTATTATATTATTTTCCAATAATTTTGCAATCTGGGTTTCAATCTCCTTTTTGTCTTCAATTGTACAGCGATACGGCCTTTTACTGCAATATTTTTCTATGAGTAGATCGATGTGTGCTTCATAATCCGTTACCTTTCCTATGTCATATTTGTCTTTTGCAAACACAGATTTATTTTCTGATATTAATTCATCAATCACAGCTTGCTTCTGATAGTCTAGATGATTTATACAAATATGGAACTTTTCGTCACTGATGTCTTCATTGTAGTTTACTAAATTATTAGATGTTTCTTCCTTAGAGTCTGGTTTATTTGTTTCCTTAGAAACTATTTCACTCTGTACAGGTATTTTCTGAGTAATTTCCAGGTTTTCATTTTGAACTAAGTGAAACTCTTTTATACAATCTAGTCCCACTAAAAAATCGTAATCGAAATTTTCTTTGTCTATTACAAAAACATTCATTTGTTTTTCCACATCAAATATGGCTATGTCGAGTGTAATTATGCCATTTGCCTTTTTAACGCCATTAATCGTTTTTAAATTAGTATTTTTGGAATGTCTGGTTTCACTGTTATTTATCTTTAATAACTTCGAATTTATCAATGAGACATTAGACCCTGAGTCGTAGATCCCGAATACTTCAACATTTTTGTTGAGTACTAATTTTATCTTGATCAATGGCGGCACTATTAGTTTTTTTGGTCTTCACACTGTAATTCACATTCCAATTCCGAATTGTTGATGAGCTTTATTTGCTTTTTATCCTTTTCAGTATTCATTTTGGTTTTAAACCAGCAGGAATCTTCTGAATGATAGCGTATGCCTTTCTTTAATTTTTCACAAATACCACATTTTTCTTTAATCGGTTTCGTATCTTCTCTTTTTTTAATAAATTTTTTTCTTGTAACCAAATGTTCCAATCTGCCCAGTGCATTAAACAAGTGTTTTGTGTGTTCAATTTCTTCTTTGTTAATTCTATCTGTGATAAAATCTGGTAAGCCGGCAGCAATTATATCGATAAGGGTCCCTTCATCTATTGTCTTTCTTACCTCTAGTAAAAGTTTCTCTTTTTTTACTGCATATTCTAATAAAGATCCTGATTGATACTTGAAAGATAAAGCATACTTGCTAGTAGTCCAACCTTTGCTGGCGTAGGTTTGCAAAAAACTCGATTTCCATTCTGACCATTCGGACTGTAAACCAAGCTTGATCATCATAGAAGAATACCAATCATTGCATGATTTCTCAAGAAATAATCTGAAGATTTCAATTTTTTCTTCATCTTGTGTAATATTGAATCTTTCACATTCTTTTTCAAATACGGACATCCACTGATATGCACTTGAGTTTTTCCCGTCAAACTTTTCTATTACAAACCTGTCTGCTAACTTTTTTATACTTTGCTTTTCTCTGTTTTGTTGACCTTCCACTAATTTTTCCAGAATTTTCACAATAGGATCTTCTGAACACTTTTTACTAGCAATAGCCAATTGTTCTTGGGTAGTTTCCTCTAGAAGCTGGTCTTGAAAAATCATGTTATCATCCTCATCCATGTAGGTTTGTAATATACCCTCTGTCATTTTTATCCAAACACCTCTGGATTGATATCTTTTTTTCAACGTATTTTTCACTGTAGTGAAGGTTTTCGAAGTTTGGATGTGTTTGTGTAGTGATACTGCTTGATACTCTTCAGGAATAAGGAAGACTTTGTCATCTTGTGTCGTAATTGAGGTTACAGCAATATAGTTGGATTTTCCGTCTGTTGATGGTTTCACTTCGAATGTAAATTTCAACTTTTCCATATTTTTGACAATAAATGTCGTTTTATAAGATGATTTCCAATATACTTTGTGATTTGGACGACACAGTCAAAATAACACAATTGAGTTTCTCTGTAAGAAAGAATTTATTCTTTAGTTTACAAATTACACATGAAATGGATAATAATATCTTTAGTAACAGAATCTTAATTCTTACGTACCTGTAAGAAAGAAACGACATTTAATGTTATCAATTACAATGTCGGTTCCAAAACCACAATTAGAATATCCAATGGTAATTGGTATTTCAATTCTATAAAATTAAATATTGTTTTTTCAGAGGTACGAGACGCTTTTAGGTTATGGCCATAGACTTTTCCTACCATAGATTACAAATTCATTTTTTAAATGTCACGGTCTGGCTTAAAGATGTTTGCCCGCAAGAAACTTGAAATGGTTAAAGAAAATTATATTTTTCTTTACATAATGTTAAAAATAAAATCCTAATATAACGGGGAATGAACAAAAATTTCACTAATACCCGTTGACGGGGATTGTCAAATTTGATTGATTTTATATAGCAAAAATATATATCGGATATTTTTTTCTAAGTTAACTGACACTCAAAGCTATAGAAAGGGATAGGCAAGCATAAAGTAAGAAATAATCGAAACATTTTTATGTAAATTAATTGAAAGAAAGAAAGAAAGAAAAAATGTTTATTCAGTATCATCGACAATACACTTGCAATACAATACAATTGGCATTTATATTCTCCTCAAGTCGTTTAAACATGCTTTTTTTTTCGTTTTCAGAAGAACATGAGCTTCTATTCGGAGCCAGAAAGCAGTTCTGGCTCGTCGTCATCGTCGTCGTCCGGCTCCGACAGCTCCGAGGACTCGTCAGACGACGAGTGAGTGGCAACAATATCACTAAGAAAGAAGAAAGAGAGAAAAACATTTATTATTTGGTTCCAACTTAAAATATAACACACAATAACAAAAAGCAAGTACAAGTATACTTACGAGCAAAAGTATGGAATCACCCTCCTGTGTTTTGTTCCCAGCGATCTGAAGAACTCGATGATTATCTATGTGTGTATGGTATCAAGTTAAAGTTTATAATGTAACCTTTAAACAGGTACAATTTTTTAATTAATATTTCATAGCCATTAAGTTCCAAAGATCACTCGAAACGAATGGGGTGATTCCATATTTTTGCTCGCGAGTGTAGTTAGAACCAAAATTGGCCACCGCTCAGCATGTGTCATGCTCAGGAGTAGTAAATGAATGAAAACACTACTGACATTTACATCATATTCTTCTCCTCTATGGCTATTGTTTCTTCATCATATTATAATCCAACGATACTGAAACGCCAAGTGGCAAAAATTTGAAATAATATCCCAGTATTGATAGTAACGCCCTCTTGTAAATGTCATAATTATATGGGACACTTCAGTGTTTTCTAAGTCCAACGTGGCGGCAAAAATCGGAACTAATATCCCAGTCTTGACAATAGTGCACTCCTGTCAATGTCACGGGCGGGACAGTTCACTGTATTGGGTCTATAGCGCCCTCCTGTAAATGTCAATTTTATGGGACACTTCTCACACTTCAGTGTTATCCAACGCAACGGTGCAAAAATCGGAACTATAGTCTATCCAATATAGCTTGATTAGAATGACGGCTGTCAAACGAATGTGACTAGTGATGTGTATGTTTCGTACGGTTCACATAGATGTATCGATAAGTTTTCGAAAAAATGATATGAAAAAATGCACCCAATTTTTCTTCATATATCTTTATTCATAAAAATGACAATTATGATTTAAATTTAAAGACAGTAAACCTAAGTAGATGTACAACCTAAGTCGTAGTCATTACCATCAGTGTTCTTCAGTGGTTTTTTCCTCTCGCTAGAAGGCGGTGGGCATCTCTTCTAGAGCAACGGTGCTATGAATACCCAAAAAACTACCGGTGATTGATTTCCGATGTTTGATTATTTAAGAATGAAATGTTTTTTGGTTTTTAATAGTGAACATTTAGAAAAACGTATAACTTGACTTAAATATGTTAAAAAATTAGTTAGAAAAAAAATTTGTTAAATATGTTAAAAGAATAGTTTTAATTTAATATGACATTTGTCGATATGTCCCAACACTAACATTTTTGTAACTCGAGTTAACCTTGTAGAGACGTCGTTAATACTCTAGCTTGATTTTTATGATTTCGAATTACTACTTATTAGTGTAATTTAACGCTGCATTTACACGAAATTATCATTTTTATTGGAAGCACTGTCGTCGAAAATATTGTTTGTAGGTCAGACGTGAATTATTTCTTGTCCGCCAATATTTAGCTCTCATTGACCGCTACTACAAAGTTATGTCGTTACTTTTGATGACAGCTGTCATTCTAATCAAGCTATATTGGATAGACTATAATAACTGAGTATCTATAGTAGCGCCCTCCTGTCAATGTTATATTTGGGACACTTCAGTGTTGTCCAACTGTGTCACATTATTTTATCACTACATTAATGACAATATTGACAATTTTCAGGGAAGAAAGTAACAACGAGGAAAAGAAACAAGTGACACCAAAACAATCCAACAATTATAGGTAAGTCCACAAAGGCAATTTTAGTTATGAACTTTCATTAACATGAGCTGTAATATTAATAATTCCAAAAATAAAATACAAATTATATTACTGGAATATAACTTACAAAAAACTGCCATAAAATTATACAGGGTGACNAAAAAAAACATTTGTATTGGATTAAATAATGACAGCCGATTTTTCTGGGGTCAGTAAAGTTTTTTTTATTAAAAATATTTTTATAGGTCCAAAAACCAACCCGAAATCCAAAACAGTTTTTATTTTATGCCTACTATTATTATTTTTTACTATTTTGTTCTGCTCACAAAGTAAATCTTTAAGCTGCATCAACTCCTTTCCACAAAAAAATAATAATGGGTTAGTCATAGTGTTTTATTATTATTATTTATAAAAATTAATAACTTATCTCTATAATTTTCTTTATTTTGTTAGCAAAAAGCCACTACCATTATGAGCTTGCTTTCAATCTTGCATTGCAAGTACTTGCAGAAGTTAGTTCGCCAAAACGCCAACAGATGTCACTATCCGTTTTTAGCTCGCGGTTTAGTTTGCTTTTTTCCAGACTTTAAGACCTCCGTGGAGTTTTCATTTAGATAACTTTGCGCAGAGGCAATATCGTAACCAATGAGGTTAATCCGAGGTGCGATTATTGCTAGTTGAAAACTTTACCAATACCCCGCCTTGTGGACGTGAAATACCGTCCGCTATGGCAATTTTTGAACGGCCGTAATGGCCTTAGAAACTTTATTACTCTACCCAACTACAACAATTAATGAAAGCTTTTTGGTGAAGTTTTCGTTTATTTATTTTTCAATAATTTAGTTGCTTATTTTGGTTATTTATTTCCTATTAAGTTCGCAATACGAGTGAAATTATGTGAATTTGTTAAATTGCATTTTAAGAAAAGTAATAAATTATTACATCTAGTTACATCAATGTGTACATTTTTTTTCAAGTGAAAGACCATAAATATGTGATATGTAATAATATTTATTTCAGTAATTTGTGAAAAATAATATTATAATAATAGCCATTTCTTTATTTTAAAGTGCAAGTGTGAAAATATTAGATCTTCGATCATTAATTTCGCTATCAGCGTATCATTTATTCAGAAACTTACCGTAATTCGTCAGGTCGTCGAACTCGGGCACGTCGGACAGCGAGTCGGACAGTGAGTCGTCCGGCTCGGACAGCTCGGACGCCAGCTCCGGCGAGAGCAGTCCCGAGGAGACGCCCAAACAGAACGCGCAGAAAACTGATAAAAAGGTTGGTTGGAATTGATTTTGTTTCATTTGTTATAAGTTGATTTTTTTAACCCATTTATAACGTTTTATAATAATTAAATAAATGCTGTTGCGGTAATTAATCATTTTTCTAATAGGGGAGAGTTCGGTATATTGTACCGCCGGGTAAATTGTACCACCCTCATATTTCGTAAAGTATTTATTGAATGTCTGTAATTGCGACACTCAGCGATACACAAATAAATTCAATTAGTATCGGCCATGTGGTTTTTGCCGTGACAATTAACACGTGTGTTTTATTTTGAAAAGTATTTTTTCATTGTTTTTAAGTAACTTTTGACAATGCATGTTTAGTTTGTAATTTTGTTAAATTTAATCACAGGGTGTATCTAATATATTATTTAGAAGCGTAAATTAGTGTGGATTACAATTATTTGAAAGATTTTTCGGTATTTATAAGCTATATTTTTTACCGATTTTTTAATAGCACTATCACCTAGTCGGCTAAATTGTACCATATCAAGTTGTATGGAACTTCACCAAAGGATTTTGAAATTTTTTTTTAGTAAATCATATTTTGAAGTTTTATTTGCGTAGTTATGTTTAACTAACAATAAATGAAAGGAAAAGACTAGCAAAGTAGGTTAGGTACAAGTGTGCGTTACGATAATTGGAATTACAAAACTTTTACTCAAAATCGTGATAACGTGTAAAACAATATCGATTGTCTATGTTATTAACTACTGTTTCTTTTCGTTACCTAATTTGTTAAGAATGTATCATATAATATTTTGCCATAGTTTTTTTATAGGCTTGAAATTTATTGAAATCCTATTTAGTAACCCTGTGGTACAAATTATCGAACCGGTCGGCTAAATTGGACCGAAGCTCTGAACTTGTATTTTGTTGATTTGTGCTAAATATACAACAATTATGTTGATTAATACCTATGAAATAGTAAGTTGAATAATTTCTCTATAATTATACACCATGAACATTAGAAAAAACAAAAGAAAACTATGTGTAAAATGGGATTGAAAAAAACTGGTCCAAATTAGCGGACTCTCCCTTACATTGCCAGCATTCTTTATAGTGTCCGACCGAATGTTCGGTTTCGTTTTCGGTTGAGTTTCGGTAAAAACACGAGTTTCGGTTTAGTTTCGTTTTCGGTGGCAAACTTGCCGAAACTACGACCGAAACCGAATGTGCATTCGGGAGTTTCCGCGCTGTTATCGGTCATGTTCGGCGCGTTGAATGAGGAATGAATCCGATCCCGATCGGAGCCAATGTCGTGATTCGCTCGCTTGTTTGTTTGCTGTTAGTTTTGTTTTGTTGTGGTGGCGAATTTTCGAGTGATTTATTTTGAATTTGGTAAGTTTTATCTCGTTTTATGTCGTTACAACAAGAGCGGGTAGTAAACATCAAAAAAAAATATTCAATATGACTGATAAAAGTATAATCAAGTTTAATCTAACCTATACATTTTTTTTGGTTTGCAAATGCTATACGTAAACAAACATTAGTTAGGTACTTAGTTAGTTATGACTATAGTGCATTTCATGGTGATAATATTATGGATTCAGAGTTTCAAAGTTCTTTTTAGTATTTATCACAATGGCAAGTACAGTAGATACTAAATTACGTACTACCAATTTTGTATTGAGAAATTATTAAAGTAAAAGACCCGACCATGGGACGGGTTATGTAGATGTCCTGAATGTTGCGAGTAATTAAAAAAAATCTAGACTTTTCTTTTTTAATAGGTACATAACTTGATACCTTTTAGAGTAAAAAGGCGCTTTCGTTCGTTTCAGCCGAAAGACGTCCACTGCTGGACAAAGACCTCTCCCAAGGATTTCCACGAAGACCGATCCTGCGCCGCTCGCATCCAGGCACCTCCCGTGACCTTCACCAGATCGTCGGTCCACCTAGTGGAAGAACTTTCCTGCCCCAGCGGCCATCAGCTCTACGAGCTATGTGCCCCGCCCACTGTCACTTTATTTTAGCGATTCGAAAAGGCGCTTTATAAGTTCAATTACGTTTTCTTTATTTTTCCCTCAAAATATGAGCCTTGTAAGGAAGTTTCGGTTTCGGTTTCGGTTTCGGCCGAAACAGACACCGTTGCCGAAATTCGTTTTCGGTTTCGGTTTCGGTCGTAAAACTAGTTTCGGTCGGACACTAATCTTTATTCTATGAAAAATCTTGATAACAGTTAAACATACTACCCTCACAGTTCACATTAAGATTTTAAACGTTCGCGTTCCATTTCAACCAAAATAGAAAGACACGGGTCTTAACGCGACGTTTATTAATTAGTTACAGCAGACTGCTTGTGACCACGGCTGCAGCATCGCAGCCGAAACGTCAAGCCGTGAGTACATAATGTAACTCATTAATAAACGTCGCGTTAAGACCCGTGTCTTACTATTTTAGTTCACATTAACTTTTCTCGTTGCAACTTGCAACTGGAATTAATTATTGTTCTGTGCAGAATATCGTAACTTTGTATGTAATCTTGAGATTACATTTATATTTATTTTTTCAGCAAAAAGCGAAACAAAAAGCAGAAACACCACCCAGCGCAGAGCAGAAGAATGAGAAATCCAACTTGGAACTGCTACTAGAGCTTGACGAAGTGGCCAGCAGCCTGCCCACCATGACGCCCACGTGTGGCGGCTTCCTGTCGCCCACTACGGCGGCCCCGGGCTTGCCGGAGGGTGAGTTTTAAGCTCAATTCACACATATCAGTGAAGACACAGTTCCGTCGCAGTGTCCGCTCAATTCAGTATCAGTGCTACAGTGTTGCGTCAGTGAAATATTTTGAATATTTTAAAATGTCAGAGAGCTGTTTCAATATTCTTGTTCAGAAACTATGAAGTAAGTTATTTTGTTTTTGGTGCCGTGGCGGCGTCCGTGATCCGACAAAAAATATCGTCGTCAACGAATACGTCCGTGATTGCCGGTGTCGGCACTGACACTGAGAGCATTGTGTCGTCACTGACACTGACAAGTGGGGATGCGTTCATAGAAACTGTATGAAAGAATATTTCGCACTGTGCCGGTATTGAGCCTGAACTGTGACTTCACTGATATGTGTGAATCGGCCTTTATTTCGATCGTTCGTTTCAGCCACTATTAGGTGTCCAGTACCAGGTATCCTATATAGTTTCTGATATTGTGTGGTTTGGAAGCTGGAAACATCGCGTTTTCGAATAGATCTAGTTTATCTATAACCTATTAATCTACAGCTAGCTTAGATAGCATTCGACAACACTCATCGATATTATCTTTTAAAATTGAATGACTAGCTTGCTTTGCTTTGGACAAATCTTTTTTATTTGGCGACATTGATTGACTGTTTTAGTTTTATTATATTTTATCTTGACTTACTTGATTTAAGGTCCTATGTCCCCTAGATGGGACAGAGGGCGTCCACAACAGCCCTCCATCGCGTTCGGTTTCGCTTGATCTCGCTCCAAGTTTATTATATCTAGTTGACATTTATTTTATATAATTTAGTAATATTGCATTTCTGCGAGTATGTTCTTTTCTTACCATAATAATATTACTTTTTCTTACTGTTTTGGGCAAGTAACGTTTGAACTTGAACTTATTCTCTACATAATGTAACATGTCACCATTTTACCTGTGATTCATAATAAATAATTTCGTATTTGTATTCCCGCAGGCGACGCCATAATCCCCGTGGGCCCCTTCCTAGTCCCAGAAGAGAGCGTGGAGCTGGTCCCACGCGTGGTGTGGCGCGGCGTGGGCGCCCAAAGGCGGTGGTCGCGCGCGCCGCATCTCTACTCAAGGTCGATGTGCGCTGTGGAGATTACCTTCACCAACTCTAGCAACCAGGAGGTCACGAATATCAGGGTTAATAAGAAGGTGAGGTGTTAATAATGTTACTCTTTATACAGGGTGTTTATTTCAATCCTCACAATATTTATTTAGGTGATCTATTATGACTTACATAAACTCATTATCAACCAAAAAAAAAATTACAAACGAAAGTGGAATTTTTAGCGAATATTTTCCGTGCGAAATCATCTGTACTGTGGCTCGCAATACTGCAATAGTTTACACTGCGGCACTCATCGAGCTACGCGGATCGCTCGCTTATCATGTTGGATAACCTCCTGAAGGATGCCACTTAAAGTAGGTAGTGTAAAAGGTATTTTTCTTTGACTACCCAAAGTTAAAGTTAGTTTACAATTTTTTTCGAACTAAATTTTTTTACTGATTCGTGATCAGAATAAACTACTTAATCAACTCCCTGAATATGGCGAGGATTGAAATCAACACCCTGTATTATAAAAAATCTTTAAAAAATAAATGATCAATCTACCGCCGCTATTGCGCCCGTTGCCCCTGTACTCACGGTCCATGTGCTCTGTGGAGATTACATTCACTAACTCTAGCAACCAGGAGGTCACGAATATCAGGGTTAATAAGGTGAGGTGTTATTAATGTCACTCTTTATTTTTATAAAAAATCTGTAAAATAAGTGATCAGTCTACCGCCGCTGATTGCGCGCGCCGCACCTGTATTCAAGATCCATATGAACTGCGGAGACCTTTACTAACTAGCAACCAGGAGGTCACGAATATCAGGGTTAATAAGAAGGTAAGGTTTTATTAATGTTACTCTTTATTTTATAAAAAATCTCTGTAAAATAAGTGATTAGTCTGCATGCTGCACTTGTATTCAAGGTCGATGTGCGCTGTGAAGACCGTTACTAACTGTGGTAACCAGGAGGTCACGAATATCAGGGTTAATAAGAAGGTAAGGTGGTTTAATTATTACTCTTTGGGCCTCTTACCATCTTCGAGTAAAGTTCCAATTAGTTACTTCCTGATTACCACTACTTAGCAAGTATTATAAGAAGATGCAAGATGGTGAAATTCGATAAATTGCTACTCGTGACGAATAGCCTACTTGACACTTTACTCGAACTTTTCGAAGATGGTGAACGAGGCCCTAAATCTTATATAAAATATCTGTAAATTTATAAAAAGTGATTGGTCTACCGGCGGTGGTCGCACGCCGCATCTGTACTCAAGGTCGATGTGCGCTGTGGAGATTACATTCACCAACTCTAGCAACCAGGAGGTCACGAATATCAGGGTTAATAAGAAGGTGACTTGTTATTAATGTTACTCTTTATTTTATAAAAAAATCTCTGTAAAATAAGTGATTAGTCTGCGCGCTGCACCTGTACTCAAGGTCGATGTGCGCTGTGGAGATTACATTCACCAACTCTAGCAACCAGTAGGTCACGAATATCAGGGTTAATATTAACCGAGGTGAGGTGGTTTTAATATTACTTATTATTATATTCCTTGCACTTAATTTTATAAGGTTTTTTTTAATAAATGATGAGATTTAATTCCCAATTCATCCTATTTAAAATTCCGTGTCAGCTATGAAATTAACAGGAGGGCGCTACTAAGATGATATGATGCGGGGTTATTAGTTCCAATTTTTGCCACGTGACGTTTCAGAATCGTTAAACTATAGTATTGTTCAACGATTCTGAAACATCAAGTGCCATAAATCAAAAATTAATAACCCAGTATTGATATTAGCGGCTTCCTGTAAATGGCATAATTATATGGTTATCCAACGTGGCAAAAAACAAAATAATAATCCAATATAGATAGTAGCGCCCTCCTGACAATAAAGCTGTTATAGACCTATTATATTGAACTGTCCTACCCGTGATATTGACAAAGGGGCGCCACCGTCAATACAGGATCGCTGGTTCCGATTTTTGCCAGGTTGGAAACTATAGAGTTGAACGATGGTAGCGCCCCTTTGTCAATGACTTTGGTGGGACAGTTCAGTGTAGTTCATCTATACATAATAATATGTTACTCATATAAGAGTATGCGCACACCGTTAATTTTTAGTTGGCCGATAGTTGTGCCCGATTTTAATTTGTATGAAGAATTGGCCAAATCGAATCGGCGTAGTGTGCGCACTCCCATACATGCCCATACTGATCAACTGCCCGACTAAACTATCGGCCGATAAAAAATCAACGGTTTGCGCCTACTCTAAAATGTGGCGCGTTGAGACCCGTGTTTCTCTATTTCATTGAGCTATTGATGCCTTCAAATTTTACATTTATCTACTACTTGACAATTTCCAGACGCTGACGGGCTCGCGCGCCATCCACGACTTCGCGCCGATCCCGCTGCTGTCGTGCGGCGCGCAGGCAACCACCACCATGGGGGTAGACTTCGCAGACTCCATCCAGCCTGTTGAGTTCACCATCGTCAGCTCCGTCGGTGAGTAGATCCTTTCACTTTAAAGCCGTTTTTGATGTATATTCAGTTTATCACAGATCATTATAAATTTTAATATCATCATCAACAGCCCTTTACAGTCCACTGCTGGACTATGAGCCTCCTCCACTATAGTGGAGGGTTTTGCCATAATCCCCACGCTTGGCAGGCGGGTTGGAGATCGCAGTTTAAAAGATTGATGTTTGTCAGAGAGCGCTGCTGCCCGTTCTCTGTTTGATGTGTAGTCCCTAAGTCGCCTCTTACGACACCCGCGGGAAGAATAGGGGTTGGTGACAAATGTATTCTACTCTGCCGTCACCACACGGCATTGAATTTTAATATAGCCTACATGTTTAATCATGACGGTCAATAACCCTCTTCTTTACTTTACTCTCCTTTTCTTTATTTTTATTTTTGCAAAAGGAATGAAAGATGAACAAGTTGAGGGCACGTGAGGAAAAATGAAAGTTGATCATAATGCATTTATTTATCATCACTTACTCTGTCTCACATTCTTCATTGAGGTATGCTTTGATTATTTATAAATTACAAAAATGTAGTGTATTTTTACTTATAAAAATATTCTGCTTTCTGGAGTTATTTTGAGCAGTGGACTGCCACTATCTGAATTCATGAAAATTGTGTTCTACTAAGTCATCAATTTAATTATAACGTTACAGCACAGTAACATACATTTTCTCTTCGTATTAGGCGAGGTGTGTGCGTCGATCACGCCGCCGGTGGGCGAGCTGATGCGAGCCGTCGTCATGTCGGAGGCGCGCTGGGACACGGAACACAGGAAGCTACGCGGAATGACCGAGGTACGCACTTCAGTAATGTCTGCAAATTGATTCCCAGCTGTCCCCAGACTATTAGATATATTATAATGTAATATTAGTTTTTAAAAAGTAAGTGCAGGCGACCGGCGCACCAGGCTAGACACTGGAAGTGTCTGGTCTGATGTGCCGGCGACTGTAGGAACCAATTTTGCATGTGTGTATTATTACTTAGTTAATATGTACAATAAGTTACACTTATAACAGTTAGCACGAGAACGACTGCCGACAAACTGTTAAGCAGTTTGGCAGATTAGTATTAAGTATAATCGATGTAACTTTTATGAGACAATAAATTAAAAAAAAAAAAGTAGAGTTTATACTGATGGGGGCAGCTGGGAATAACCCCAAATTTGTTGTTAACATAGTCACATCGGCTTCGCAGAACAGTGACGAAATCGAAATTCAAGTGAATTCAAATGAAAATTGATATTATTACCTATTTTAAATGAATTGAAGTTATCAATTTTAAAAGCTAGAAAAGAATGAGGGTTTGCATTTTTGTCACCAATAAACCGCCGACACAACTTCCAAACTTTTGTAAAAAGTTTTGTAGGACTAATCACTAGAGTGGCTTTTGCTTTTTATAAATTACTTTTTTTTTTCAGTGTGATAAGAAAGCAGCAAAATTAGAAGATGAAGAGTCAATTTGCAAAAAAGTTTTTGAGACAGCGAATTTGGCAGGAATTACTACGTGCGGCGAGTTTTTGAGGTAAGTTACTTCAAACATATTTTTTCTAACTAAAAGATGTGTCCTCGACCCAGATGCACATAATTAAGAGCGCTTTCACATTTAGGCGATTTAGCAGCGCAACAAACGCACTGCCGAAAATTTCATACTATGTGACAGCGGATTCAATGACAGTTTAACTTTCCCTCGGGACAAACTTGACCTTCATTGGTTGGGTTTTTGTGGCGATCAAGCTGTAGATCCTGGCTACACAGGAGTTGCGGCGGTGGGAACGAGAGGTGGGAATAGTCCCGTTTATATGACAGCGGATGCATGTCTTCACATTATAAAAACGCCGCTGTCGCGCTACTAATGCTCTAATGTGAAGCCTTGATCACACCGTCACACGTACCGAATAAACGGGCGAGACAGTAAAATGTTTACTCGTTCGAGACAGTTGGGTGAGCGAATCACATACTCGAGCGCCGCCGAGCACTCGGCGTAATGAAAATGAAAATACTTTTATTAAATAAACACTTTACAATTACAAGATATGTGCCGCTCTCGTATAAGGTTAACCTGTTTCCAGTCAGGCTCCTCCTCAAAAAAACATAAGACTAAAATTTTGCGTTTAGATTAAATTTTATCTTTTAATGTAATGTAATGTTCATACACACCGAGTACTCGGCCGAGAGCACTGTCTCGCCCGATTACTCGGTACGTGTGATCAAGGCTTAAAGGTGAAACTCTAGCGACATCATTATTAATTTCACCATTATGAAAGTGAAAAAAGTACTTACTTAAGGCGCTACCTCGTAAAAGTTTTCGGCCGACTGAATGCCTCGCACACAGAGGGATAGAAATATGATTTCTCAGTGCGAGGAAAGGGACAGCAATAGCGCGCGCGGCGCGGAATAAAATAACGTAAGCGACAAAAATCGGAAATCATGTATTTATTGAAAAACCAAACACTATTTAAAGAAAATAACTCGACCAGTACTTAGAATATGTTATTACCTTACCAATATACAAAATTTGGTATTGAAATATTAGCCTATCTGCTTATAAAACGAAAAACCGAGTAATAGAAGGGTCATCTTTGGATTTTTTTTCTATCGAGAAAATTGATTCCATTCATGTTTCGGCTTCGACCAGACACTAGATTTATTAGTCAACTATGACATATTTCAAAATAAGAACCTAAGTAATAAGAAAAGTACGATTAAAACTAATTCTGCGCTTCTTTAAAACGCCCAATATTCGCAAGGCATCACCTTAATGCCACCCAAAATAAATTAAAACCCACGTCCTTCCCCAGATTCGCCGGCCGCATGATGAGCTCCCAAGAGTTAGTTCTTCTCTCGGTCCGCACGGAGCGCTCGTGCTGCCGCGTGGCGGCCAGCTGCGGCAACATGGCCGTCGCCGCGCTGCTGGCCGCCGACGTCGCGCAGGCCATGGACCGGCCCTAAAATACAATGGAGCTGGTACGCCGATGTGGACCTACAGAGCTATGCATTACGAGCGTTAGGCAGTTTAAAAATTGTTTTTTTTTTTGTATAGCGTTATATGTAAAGGCATAACAGCCTGATTTACCTTTATAATGCCATCTCGGCATCAAATAAATCGCACCTCCCGCGACAAGCACTTATCAAACGTATGCATCCCCACTTCCCACCAACATTGGTACCATTTGAAAGCCTAGTTCTAAACTTCATTTCATTATAGGAAAGGTTTTTACCCCAAAAATGTGTCTTTACAAAGATCTCAGAGTCACTTCTTCAAAAAATAGGTAGTTACGCTATAGCCATTTGTTATGACTATAAAACTGTTAAGTTGGGATTAATCGCTATCCATCTGTTAAAGAGGACACGTGAGATCTTTATTTGGCTTTATAACCATAAAAATTGGTCTAATTGATCCCAGAGGTGAGCCCAAAGTGAGGTCTATTTTCAAGTCACATTTATGGTATATGTTAATCATTTATTTAGAAATAAAATGTATTTTTCTTTAAGGATATTTATTGGACTTTCAAATAACACCAATATTGTTGGGGTACCATGATTGAGCCAGAAGAAAATCTTTAAAGTTCGCGTCGCGGAAGGTGCGGTTTATTTGATGTTGAGTGTAGTATCAATTTTTATTTTTTTATTACTTGAATGAACCATGTTGGACAACTATTCCAAATTGCATTCTAAAGCACAGATATCCGTAACCGAAACCGGTACCGGTATAATAATATTCCTATCCGTAACAGTATCCATAATCGAAACTACATATTCATAACATCCCTAGCGCAGACTACCGATTTTTTGTTGGCCGATAGTTTAGTCGGGCTAACTGCCCGACAATATCAGTATCGACATGTATGGAAGTGCGCACATTACACCGACATTTAGTTTGCTAAGCCTAGGCGCAGTCCACGGACTTTTAGTTGGCCGATGGTTGTGCCCGATTTTAATTTGTATGAAGAATCGGCCGATAGCAAATCGGTGTAATGTGCGCACTTTCATACATCTTCAATCTGACCCAAATATCAGCTAACTAAAATTCGGTGGTCTGCGACTGGGCTAAAGATACGCCAATTTAGATCTACTGTAAGATGCAATACATGCGTTTTAAGTTATAATTTTTCGCGCCCGCATTAAAGATACGCAAATCGAGACCTACTGTGTGGGCGTAGTGTCATGCCCATGTGTTATGTAATTTTGATATTTTTTATATTTCTCCGATCCTTAACTTTTACTAGTGCAGATCCCAATAAATAAACCAAACCTAGGAATTATCAGTTTTAATAGTTCAATGAAAACGCTGTTGGTCCTCCGAAAAAGACGGTTGATAGAAGCATGGTATTAAAACGCGGCCTTTTGATGTGTCGTTTGATCATTCAGGGTAAAAGGCATAAATATGGTGTTAAATTATGTGTCCTCACAGACACTGGGTTGACGCAAAAAATGCACATGTATTGCGGATCACATATTATTTATCCCACAAAAGAAATGGTTATGATGATAAGGTAGTGATGATGGAGGATTATATTATTTTTTTCAGTGCAAATAAATCTAGTAATGTTCACTCGGTTCTTCCATTGACATCGTTACTAATTAGGTTGTTAATTATGTTTTATTTTAATAGCTATTGCGTCATTCCTTGTGTCTGTGATTTACATAATACTAAGTTCTAATATGTAATACATTTTAATTTTCAATGTTAATAATTTTCCTTATAGAAGTTATAACTAATTTATATTTTATCAAAAACGCTATGAATGTATGCTCTGCTACCCAACTAGGTCGTCAATTTGTCAAGTAAGAATTTATATCAATATAAAACATTTATCACTTAGTAAACTATCATAATATTTAAGCCCACTTATCATCAATTTTATATGCAATCATATTGTCTTCGTATCTAGTCTTTATGAATCATAATAATGGGCAGTCAGTGGAATTAAATAATCTTTCGCCTACGAACAAGCCTCACGAATACCTGAAGACTGTATGTATCAGTTTATGACTATCTTAATTTTATAGTAAAAATCTTATTAATATTCCATTAAATAATATTATTCAATTCTCTCTGTTTTATTAATTAGTTTTTAATTAATTGTTGTAGTGACACATTACACGAAAGTCTGTATGCCTCGATGAAATGAAAAACGATGTATGTTGTATAGATATATTTTATAATACATGATTCTCATTGTGATCTCCACTATTGTAGTGTTACTTTTGTCGCCAACATTCATGGGAAGGTCTGAGCCGGATTCGTAATATAAACGCGTAATTTTGAGTCACCAAGTCGACGTAGGAAACTGCTCTAGAGTTTAGTCTTGTTACTCTAGCAATATAGGGACAGTCCCGAAAGTTGGATCGTCTGTTTCTGGAGCTTGTAATGCAATTACTTTACGTGTAAATAGTGCGAATCCAGCATATAATCGTATTTATCAGCATTTTACAAAAACGAGTGAAAAAGAAGATTCATTTGGCACAAGATTGAAGCAAATGAAAAAGAAATTGAAAAATTAGTAAATGAAAAACGGTTTAACTTATCCTAATACAATCAACCATGTTTTGTAAATAGTATAAATTCAAATATTAGTACTTATTATTATTCTGTGCTTTTACTAAGTATCCAAATTTATTTCATATACAACATAATGTTATGTAAATAATAATGAGATCATGTAAAACGATTTCGGCGTAGATAGTGCAAGAAATCCTCATTATAAAAACACCGTTTTTACCAAAATACTGTTCTCTTTTTTATCAGTAAACTAGCTTTCCGCCCGCGGCTTCGCCCGCGTGGAATTTTGTCTGTCACAGAAAAACTTTATCGCGCGCGTCCCTGTTTCAAAAACCGGGATAAAAACTATCCTATGTTCTTTCCCGGGACTCAAACTATCTCTATGCCAAATTTCATCAAAATCGGTTGCGAGGTTTAAGCGGGAAAGCGTAACAGACAGACAGACAGACAGACAGACAGACAGAGTTACTTTCGCATTTATAATATTAGTTGGGATGAAAAAACACGATGGGTTATTTATCCCAACTATATAATATTATAAATGCGAAAGTAACTCTGTCTGTCTGTCTGTTACGCTTTCCCGCTTAAACCTCGCAACCGATTTTGATGAAATTTGGCATAGAGATAGTTTGAGTCCTGGGAAAGAACATAGGATAGTTTTTATCCCGGTTTTTGAAACAGGGACGCGCGCGATAAAGTTTTTCTGTGACAGACAAAATTCCACGCGGGCGAAGCCGCGGGCGGAAAGTTAGTATTTTTATAAATAAAAGATAATGTCGATTATGAGATTCAATAATGTCTTTCATAAAAAGCAAATTGCTGATAGATACTACCGAAGTTCATAGGAAATTGTGATAAAAAACTATACAATTTAGTTTTTCACGATTAAACTTACACGTCATTTCTGCTTGTACATTATTTACAAAAGCACCAATATTGCTTTTTGTTGTATAAAATAACACTGCCATTTTGGTTGTAACAAAGTTACTTACTATAACTACTTCCTAAATATAATTTGAGTATCAAACTACTCATGGCTGCCTTTATGATTTGAGTCAGTAACTTGAAATTTATTGATATTTAGACCAGTCAAAGGTTTCATACTGGTTCTGACACACTGGTACACAATTCATAACAAATTACTGACTCCAAATAAACGTCTGTTCATGAACTAAACCTATCTTACAAGGAAACCTATTTATTTACATCTAAATAGTTCCTCACGTTTCATAAACTCAGTGGCACAGATCATAACGCAACACTCACATCCCTTCGGCGCCACGATTCATACTAAACGTGCACTGACACTGAGTACTCTATGGTCTAGATGTCTCTTATATTGGAGCTTCTGGGTTCGAGTCCCAGTTTGGCTAGGACATTGTCGGTTTGGATCAACCTGTTTATCCGAAGATTCTGTCATTCGGAAGCTACATACAGTCCGATTAAGCCACGTCCGACGCCTAAACTGGCTCATCAACTGATACCAGGTTGTACTCAAGCGCTGGAAGGTTGCCTACTGCGGATAGTGTCCCCAGCCAGGCATCGCCAAGTTGTAGTTTGTGGTGTGGACGCTAATTATACGCGGGCGCTTACTATCATCATGTAGCGGAGGCGGCTGGCTGGCGGCCGGCGGCGGCTGTTGTTGGTGCTGGTGACCTTCTAGCAACCTGTCCTTCTTGGACATCCGCTTCTTAGGCACAGAACACTCCGGCATGACTCTCCGCTCGTTCCACAGCCGCTCCGCTAGAGATAACCTCGCTTGGATCCCAGCTGGATGCTCAACCTGCTTCCTCGGTATCGGGCCATTGGCCACCTTTTGTTTCATCGCTTCGAGACGCTCCTCAGTTTGTGTCATGGGCGGCACTGGTAAGCCCCGCCCGTTACAGATGTTATGTAACACACAGCAGGCCACCACGATCATAGTAACGGATGGTGGTTCGATCTGTTTATTGCAAGTGGCCTGCAGACATTTCCACCGGCTCTTCAGCTGTTTTATTGTCTCGGTCACCGCTGAAAATGTCTGCGTGTGGAGATTCGAGTAATACTTTTCCGGTGTGATGGGCGATTTTTTCGTCATTTTCGGTATCGGCGTCATGATGTACGGTTTCTGTGTGTAAAATGGGCCACCTGGAATAAACAGAATTACGTATTTTATTATAAGCTGCTACTTCTTATATTATCCTTCATTTTAAACCAACTATCCTTGATCCAAAAGATAGCATCACTGGTAGTGTCGTCACCAGTGATCATGATGAGTGTCACCGTGACATAATAAAAGCTAACTATAAAAATAATGTATTTTATTAATACTGATTTATTGCACACAAATGTTAGAAATTGGTCCTAAATTATAAATATCACTCTTATTAGGTCTGTAAGAAAATGACTAGCTGGGAAAACACTCAGTCTGTGAAGTTATAGTCTGATCTGCGAGCACGTAGAATTTTTTCCAATGACCCCAAGCTACCCATCCTTATCGCTCGCGCGTAGTGGCTTGGGGTCATTGGACAAAATTCTACGTGCTCACAGACCGGGCTTTAGATCCTATCACTCGTTAGTGGCTAAGACAGTGGCGCCAAGGACTAATGCATTTGCACCCACCAAGGTGGCGCCACTGAGAGTAAGTGCAACCACATCAACACGTACAGATCACCATAGGCGCGCCGGCGCGGTCATAGGCCAATGACAGGACAGGTCGCGTGACCCATGACAGTTCGCGTTAACTGTCATTGGCCTATGATCGTGCCGGCGATGGCGATCTGCACGTGTTGGTGTGGTTGAAGCTTAACTCTACAGTGGCGCCTTTCAAGTGAACGCAAATGCGATTTATTGCTCACCAGTTGGCACCACCTTAGCAAGTGACCTTAAGACCTTACTCTACAGTGGTTTCAAGTGATGAGCGCTAAAACCAGAGTAAATACAAATGAGTAGGTCATCTTCATAGAAACGCTCGAGCGCGGTTTGTATGTGAGCGCGCCAATACGTATGCGGCGCACACGCACACACTGAAAAAATTTAGCGTGGAGTAGCGGGGTGTTGCCCCGAATTTTGTTGAATTGGCGCGCGCTCACATACAAACCGCGCTCGGGCGTTTCTATGAAGATGACCTACTCATTTGTATTTACTCTGCTAAAACGATAACCCTCTTCTTTGATCTTGATGTAAAAAAAGCTAGGTTACCAATAAGCCAGCACTGCTCGCCGGCGTTGTTGAGGGAGTCAAGGTCGACGCGCACGGCGTGCCGGTTGAGCACGGCGTCGCAGGACAACGCGCCGCCCGCGCTCGCCTCCACGCTCAGGATGTTGCAGTCGCTGTCGCAAATCTGCGCACATGTCGTCAAATCATTGGGTTACTTGTAGAATAAAGACCGGTCGCCGAGCCGAAGAGTTTCGTCCAATGACCCCAAGCTACCCATCCTTACCGCTCGCGCACTCACTGCGGCCGCCCGTCGCACAGTCGCGACAGCAATATAATTACGTGCGAGCATGATACGTGCGATAAGGATGGGTAGCTTGGGGTCATTGGACGAAATTCTACGTTTTCGGCGACCGGACTTTAGAAAGAATAGAAAAATCTTTATTTGACACAAAATAAACAAAAATAATAACAATAAAGTATACAAATATAGGTGGGTATTTTGAGCCAAAAAGGTCTTTTGGGGATTAGTCGAAGATAAGTTTATAACTCCCCATTCAGTGTTATGAACTGAATGTGGCAGAAATGTGTGTTTCCACCATTTATGGGGAGATAGGTAGGAGGTAATTACGGCCGTATTCACAAACATTACTATGAGGTCTCACAGTGCGCGTGGACGCACAGGATGATACACGAACCAATCACAGAGCTCTATTCAACGCTGTGCGTTCTATTTGCTACTTCACTTAAGCAAGCATCATTGGTGAATACGGGCATTAGTCTCTACTACAGGAGGACTACCTCCTCTAATTTACCAGAGTTCAATGGACGATTTAACCTGCACAGAATAACATTTGGTGTAGATATCACACGACAGTATATCAATGACGTATTTCACATGTTGAGTACTAACAGTTTGCTCTCTCTTGTTGGGTTTATACAGTGTGAGTCACGTTAAAGTGTACATATGAAAATAGATGAAACTAGACCTATTTTTATCGACAAAAAAGAGGTCAAAAATTTTTTGAGATTTTTTTTTAATTTTTTATAGAATTTTTTTTCTTCCAATTACTTATTGTAAAGAAAACGTAATAACTTTTAAAATAAGCGGTATATCCTGATAAAATAAAAACCGTAATAATGCTAAATAACAGGCGGTACTAAAAAAATACATAAAATACACAAAAAAGGCCAACAAATAATAAAAAATGATACTTTTTCAAAAAAATCTGCTTTTAAATTCGTGTTTTTTTGGTTATTTGATAAATTTCTCCAAAAAATGCCCCTATAAAAGGTGGTTTTTATTACTTTGTATTATTCTCCATCGTATTATCTTTGTAAAACGAAAAATTGCATGTCTCTATCCCTATCACAACATTTTCTATGAGCGTTTGAACAAAGGCCTGCCACAACATTATTCTCCGCCTGCAGGTAGAGAAAATTTTAATTTTAACTAAAATGCTTATTTTACTTCGAAATCTTTTGTTTTTATTTAAATTTAACTTGTCTTTATCTAAATTACAAATCTAGAGCCATTTTCAGTTTCGTTGTTAACGAAGCGTTGAATTGCGCGCCCGGAGAGGCTTAGTTCAAACGATCATTGCAAATGTTGTGATAGGGATAGAGACATGCGATTTTTGGTTTTACGAAGGTAATACGATAGAGAATTATACAAAGTAGTAAAAACCACCAGTTATAGGGGCATTTTTTGGAGAAATTTATCAAATAACCAAAAAAACACGTATTTAAAAGCAGATTTTTTTCAAAAAGTATCATTTTTTATTATTTGTTGGCCTTTTTTGTGTATTTTATGTATTTTTTTTAGTATCACCTGTTATTTAGCATTATTACTGTTTTTATTTTATCAGGATATACCTCTTAGTTTACAAGTTATTACGTTTTCTTTACTATAAGTAATTGGAAGAAAAAAAATTCTATAAAAAATTAAAAAAAAAATCTCAAAAATTTTTTGACCTCTTTTTTGTCGATAAAAATAGGTCTAGTTTCATCTATTTTCATATGTACACTTTAACGTGACTCACACTGTATTAACGGTCAAGCTTTAGATCCTCAATAAACAAGATTTGTAAAAGCAACTATAACCTTGGCTACATTTAGAAAAAAAACGCAGCGTCAGTCTCCCACAATAATCTAATTCTACTATAAGCCTACATTGTACTAAAAATATTGTAATGGTTGTTGTGGTGAGGAAATAAAGCATTTTTTTTAACATAGTATCTAGTTAAAGTGTTGAGTGAGTTATCATTATTTTCACACCTTTTTTCAAACATCTTTCACTATTATTACTAGAATGAAGTAATCAACTTACAATCTGCACCTTCTTGGAGTGGTAGGACTTATTGAAATGTGCCTTGCGGTCGTCGTTCGGCGGCATAATGGGCACGTGCGTGCAGTCGATGCAACCTACCACATTTGGTATGCCATACTTCATGTAGAACCTGAAAACAAGTTTGTTACTGGATTAGTATGACACTGTAAGCCACCTTATGCTGAGACCAGTGGTTTAATAACAGCTTTGGTTCGAATTTAACTATGTAAGTAGACTAAGGATATTTGGACTAAATAAAAACATTTTCTTTCTTTCTTAATAATGATTATTATGAATTTAAATGATTTCTAAAAAACTGACATTGAAAACATGATAGGTAAAATAGGCTGGGGTGCACAATCTTACTCCATTCAAAAACACCGGTTATTGTTATAGTTATGGTTAAAGTTGTGGTGCAGCTCATCCTAAATTGTGAATTTCGCACAGCTTAAGATGTCGCACTAGCATCACTTTACAAGATAAATAAAATAAATAACTAAAATAGTTTTTAAAAATATTTTTGCTGACTAGGACTAGGCTAAATAAAAAAAATTATTGACGCCAGCTGCATTATACCTTGCTTTTATTATATCTCTCTCGCCCCTCAAATGTGGAAAGTGAATGTACTTCTTCACAATGGTTGGATGGTTCATAGCTTCGGTGACCTGTTGCATTGCCGTTGCCACAAAGTATGCTGTGAGATTCGGGTCAATTTTGCCTCCAAATGACTTCTGGAACTTGCCTGTTGCATAAAAAGATAATGCTGCCAGTACCTGCAATTTACATCAATGGTATTTAAGTATAAAACTATGTATAAAGCTTTGATTTTTATGTTATTTTGTTTTATTCAGAAAACAAACAGATTACAAATGAAAAAATAACAGCTTGTAAATAACATTTTGCCATCAATATATTTTTTATCATAAAGAAAAATCAATTTATTGTCATTAATCTGACCTTACGAATTGTAAACACTTTTGAGTAAATAAATAAAAAACAAACCAAAATAAAGTTTCGGAGCTAAATTGTTTGAAAATTACTAAGTTACAAAAAAAACTAAGAAATACACAAATTAATAAAGCTCTGGTCACTCACTTTGCTCTCCACTGAGAACTCAAGGGACTTCAAGGAGTCTGGCATGACAGGTGCCACCTCCTCTATCAGGTTACGAACTAGGTCTTTAGACAGTCTGTAAGTCTCAATGAACGTCTGGTCTGGCAAGTCGAAGGGATCAACCTCCTCCCGGGACCTCGAGGGCCTTTTCTCGGGGCTTCGCGCTTTCTCTACTGGTCGGGGCTCCTGTTGTTTTTGTGTATGAGAGGAATCCCATTTTAACAACTCAAATATCTCCGGCTCCTCATCCACGACCGAGATGTAGCCCTCCTCAGGCGGTTTCTCAGCCATCCGAGTGTATTTTTGATTACTTTCAAATAAAATAGACGCAGCTTGGGATATTTCGTTGTCAACAGAATATGACATTTTAAGGCAATGTTGCCAGATTAATGAAATAATTTATTCCTACCTTTCAAATTTGGTGTTGCTAGAATAAAGTTTTAAAATGATCTAAAATTCTAAGAGATGGTTGAAAATGTTGAAATTGTTGTTTTTCGAAGATTTCTATGGTTTCTTTTCTTTAACCAACTTTTCCAACTGTTGGAGATTACTTATGATCAAAGAAGTTACTAAGTATAATACTTTTTTAGTCATCGAACTTTTATTTTGGGAACACACTGGTCTACCACCTGCTACAGACCCACAGGTCCCGGATTCGAATATGAGATGAAGTACAATGAATTTCTTCGCTTTCTTTCCAAATATTTCAGGCCTACAAAAGTTCAAAACAGACTGGGAACAAAATACACAAAGTTAATTGAAAGTTTTGTGGTCCCACCTTAAAATCGAACCCTGAACCAACGAGACGAGAGTTATTCAACCACCGATCCACCGAGACGATAAAAATGTAATAAAATGGTTAAGAATGCAAATACCTCCCCAATTAATTCGTGTTATGGCACACGAAATCCCTAAAATGTGCGCTATTGATCTATTGCCAAAGGACTGACGCGTTTACGAACAGACGTCAGCACATTGCAGTCGTAAAATAGTCTTTATTACAACTGTATAAGATGCTAGGTTTCAGGTTGATGTGCGGTCGTCTGTTCATCGTGCCATACCGTCGCTCACGGTGAGATCACCGCATCGGCGCCAGCGTCTGTGGAGCGAGACACGAACCCATTACGAGGCAGACGCCCAGACATAATAACGGTGCATCCATATCAGTTATTGGGGGACAATATTTGGCTAAATTAAAATTCCCTAAATATTTTCGGCCAATTCAAACGACTTTAGCTATAAGACTGAGCTTTGCTTCGGAGGCTTAGCAGTCAAGTAGTGAGATGGATATCTAGGAGTCGATTTCTAATCTGGGTTAACAAAGTGTTAAAGGAGTGAGTCAACTTAAAAGTAGTCCGTCATTTATTATCATTGTGATTGCAACCAATGCCAATCTACAACTTGCAAGTCAAGGTATCGAAAAATGCTAGCACTTTTTCGTCACTAATATCAACTCAAAAAGAATCCCATCTACCTATTCTGAAAGACTCACTTATAAGGCGCTAACGAATTTGTTAGGAAATTTGAAACTTTGCACAACTCTATTGAAAATACACTGCATTTTGGAAAGTTGATCAAAAAGAAGCGTCAGTGTAAATGCAGCTTAATGTATATTTTCACCCTCACCTTCCAAAAATAACTGGAGGTCATTGACTGTCGATCATCTGTTGAGATTATTGCGTGCGTACGGCTAGTTCCTCACGGAAAATCTCCAGTAGTCAACCATTGAGCTACGCAGTGATGTATCGAATGAAAAGCCCCAATTCCGTCGAAACTTACCTACATCTTGATGAAATGATTCCTTTGCTATAGAAGAGATCCTTCTCAATGTGAACAATATTTTTTAACATTATACCTAAGTTTATAAATCTTTAACCTTTTAGTTTAGTCAAATGGATGGGTTTATGAATTCTGGAATAAATGAAATTCAACGTTTTGTTACAATAACTGTTAAAGGTACCTTATCACGTTCCCTGTAAAGACTTAGGAGGAGGAGAAAATAATGATGTGATTATTCCCTATCAAAGTATAGAAAAACTAGAGCAACAAATTGAACCGGTAACGTTTGGCCTGCCCGACAGCCGACAGGGTCACTCATAATTAAATTATCTCACAATAATTTAGAAAAAATCTAAATATAAGTAAAGTGAGTGATAATATTATATACGGGGTCGGTGTTGTGGTATGAGAAACGTAACATGTTGACGTTTTCAGCTTCTTGCACGTGTTTGTAAACGAGGCGACCACTACGAGACATCTAAATTTAAAATTTCATATTTACGATACTGGATATAAGGATCACTCACGTGTTTGTCTCGCATGACTTTCATAAACTGGGGAATTTTCTTGGAAGTTTCTACGAGAACACTTCGAAATGAAATTAGTTAATATCTACTTATCTACAAGCTACAGGATCTTAATTCAATACAACATACATCTGTTTCCGCATTTTATTACACCGATCTTGTCGCGACAAGGAAAAATTTCCGTGCTTTTAAGCGATTTTGTGAAAAATATTATTGGCAGGTAGTTGCTAATTGCTCATAAGATAGGCCCCCTTAATTGATAGCTTATTATCCGTTGTGCATAATCTTTTCTTAAAGGTTTTTAAACCTTTGTTTGTCACCTGTCATCCGCTTTGCAATGGAGGGAAGTCGAACCTTAATTTCGAACTCCTCCTATGTTCTTCTGATTAATTTCGTTGCGGGTCCAATGACAGTTTAACTTTCCCCCGGGACAAACTTGACCTTCATTGGTTGGGTTTTTGTGGCGGTCAAGCTGTAGATCCTGGCTACACAGGAGTTGAGGTGGGAACGAGAGGTGGGAATAGTCCCGTTAGAAGCTACAGGATCGTTTGAAGACCCAATATGGGCGATGAAAACTATTTCAAATTAATTTGGATGGAGGTAACTTAAGGACTAGATTAAGATCAAGTCAGCTCAGCTGTCTGAAAGTAAAAAACTATCTCAAAATAATCCATGTAAATAGGTAACTGTACCTATGGTCATTAGCGACCAGTTATTTAATGTACCTATCTAAGTAATTGCTGACTAATTACTTACCTTTACATGTGCCTTGCTGCAATTTAGCCTGTTACCGTTTTAATTTTATAAGATAAGTAGGTTTTTGGAAAACCAGCTTTAAAATGTGTTAATTTACTAATTGTGTAGGATGTAGCTACATCATCTTGTCTAAACTTCAAAGCAGCATTTATATCTTTAAGATCATTTCTACTGAATCATTTATTACATGCCTTCAGTGGATCGTTTGTTTCCTTTTTAGAATCATTAATCATCGAAGTACGCACCTACATAGTGTTCATGCACATGAACCAAACCATTTGCTCTATTACAGGAGTCGAACTCGCGACCTGTTTTGGCTCTATGGTCTGTAGCACTAATCACTAGAACAAGCAACTTATAACTTTGGAAGGTTACATGTTCATGTTCAAATGGACACCAAAAAGTCGATATCTAGCAATGTACCTAATCGCGATAACGCATTAAAAGATACAATACCTATAGTAACTATACTAACTAGATAGGTTGCGAAATATAGCACAACCAATTTACACGAATTAATTGGGAAGCCTGTACGTCACCCATTCATGACAAATTACAGATATTTCGGTCCGCGCGACCTATTTCACAAGTTACAAATGCCGGTTATCAATACCTTATGCCATTTTGTATTTTTGGGTAACCTAACGGTGCGTTGATAATCGTGGCGCCGTAGAGTGTTGGGCCCAAGTGGCTGTGTGAGGCAGCCCAGACAGTCTTGTTGCAAACGCGTTTGAGGCACGACGCGTTAACGCCTCGTCAAAGGTCGAAATGTAGTTTGTTTGATAACGCGAGGTTACTAGTCAATGCTCTTTTCGGTTGATCTTGAATGTGAGTGAGTGAGTGCAGTGTAGCTATTTATCTAGGTAGGTACAGTCGCTTATATACGCACTTTGGTTAGACATTAACAGCCGGCGTGCGATTTTTGTGTTGTTGTGGGACATTTGGTGGTGATTCATTCATTAGCCACGAGGGTTATAATAGAACGTCATAGTAAGGGTTTAGTATCTCCGGTTCTGTGCTAAGATATTATGTATTAGGTTCTGTGTTACAAATTGTTGTTGACTTTGGAGCTGAATATTTGCTATATTAAATGAAATATAAAAACTCACAGAAACTTGAATGTCTTTTTTTTATATGACGCACATCAAGTGCATCAAAAACAAAAACACTGATGTTTTGCTCTTGCAGATGTTCTTACAGTGTAGTTCTCAATTAAAACATTTTGAATGGCATACCTGGAGCAGTCCCTCCCTATTTTGAATGCCCCTTACTTATACGGGAATTGAACCCCAGACAACCCCAAACGATAATGCACTTTATCTTATTAATTAGAATCTACCGGTGACTTTTATATCAAATGCAGGAGACGTGCAACTCAAAGTTAATGTATTGAATAAATAAAATAGTAGGTTTCATAGTCATAATAATAAGTATGAATGAATCAAAGCGTTTGTAAATTACTAGCTCGCGGAGTTCGATAGTTACAGCAAAGCTGAAGAATTTTAAACACGTGATTTAGTTATGTCACCGACTCTCCGACACTCATGTGTTCTGACTTAATATTTATAACAATCAAGATGAGGCTGACCTCATCCCTGAGGATTGGCAGGCTATTTACCTTTTTCTGAACAATATGGGGCAAATTGTTATGCACCATTGTTGATATTTTTCGCTTCAATGATGTAAGGCTTATAATGCTCTTACGTATTTTCTATAAATACCTATTGAACAGAGCTTAAGGAGGGGATTTGTCTTTACAGTGGCCGAGTTTGATGTACCGGTGTTTATAAAAAATCTCTTTACAGTCAAACATATCGCACGTGCTCGTTTTTAAGTGTTACAACGTACTATATCATACTTATCTTTTAAATAATTAGTTGTTATCACCAAAAAATGTTGCTTTATCAAATAATGAGTGCTCTAGAAGGCTCTACATAGTTAAAACATACGCTCTGAAATGTATACGTTTCTATCAAATAATAAGTAAATAAAGTAAGTAGGTTAGAGACATACGATTAATATTGATACACTCAACATCAAATAAACCGCACCTTCCGCGACGCGAACTTTAAAGGTTTTTTTCTGACACAATTATGGTACCCCAACAATATTGGTGTTATTTGAAAGCCCAATAAATATCCTTAAAGAAAAATACATTTCATTTCTAAATAAATGATTAACATACAACCATAAATGTGACTTGAAAATAGACCTCACTTTGGGCTCACCTCTGGGATCACGTGTCCTCTTTAACAGATGGATAGCGATTAAACTTAACAGTTTTATAGTCATAAAAAATGGCTATAGCGTAACTACCTATTTTTTGAAGA